CAACAAAAATTTTGCAGTTTGATGAAGGACAAGGCATCAGAACTTTCTCTTTATATCCCATCAATATCTTTTCGGATAGTCGGGACCCAATGACCAACCCGAAATTTTCTAATATCTCGTTAATTCATAAAGAACAACTTCAATAAGAAATTAAATTAAAAAATACCCAAATGGCTAAAGGGTGGTTGACCATTATTCCTAAATTTATATTTAGAATTGAATATCCTAGAAAGGATATCATTTCTTTAGCAATAACAACTGGATATGACGAACTTAAGGACATATGGTCCGAAAAAATTAAATGTTTTACCGGGCCTACAATGATATCCCATTGAATAAAGCTGAGTATACAACAGAGTAATAATAGTAATGTATTTTATTAAGAAAAATAAATAGTTCTTGGAAAATAGATATTTCGTTTATATTTTTTATTATTTTACATTCAGAAAATAAATTCTTTAAAGAATTTATGAGAGGATTTTTACTGACAAAACATGTTTACGTTGCAACTGAGATAATTAAAATGCTCCAAAGTAATAATGAAATATGGGCATACGATTTACGTTACAATTTAATAATGCAGGTTGCGGCAACCCAAAGCTATGAGGTTAAAGCTTTCGAACTTTATAATGTTATATCTACCGTTTTTGGGTAGTTAAAATATTGTGTTAACAGTAGAAAAATTTACTTTAAAACTCCCAAACCATTTTTGACTTTAGTTGACTTTAGTAATTTTGACTTTAGTAATCTCACCCAGACCTGCTCACGGATAATGATCTTGGTATCCGTATCCGCATATTTACGGCGGATACAGACGGATACAGGCGGATATCCGCAGGCATTTTGATATTATCTGTATCCATATCCGTATCCATGGGCAGGTCTGATCTCACCAAGATCATGTGAAAATCTGATTGTTTCTACATATGTTTCTGAAAATAATTATTAAAATATCATATTTAGGATTTACGACTAATTCGTCAATTAATTTTTTATTTGAGTGAAGGAAAGGAAAAACTCAATTTTAATAAAATATTCTTTGAAGAAGATAGTAAGGGCATTTCTAAAAATTTTCTCAATGGACGATTCTTTTATGGAACAAAACTTCAATTTATGAAAATTTTTGATAACAAGGTAGTAAAATTAAAATATTAAGGGAATTAACATTCTACAATAAAAAAACATTTTATCAATTTACTTCCAAATAAGGATGGCTTATACATATAGGATGGCCACCCAGAAATCTATCAAAATAGTTTCAACTAAATTGAGCAAATCAAAATCAGTGAGTCAGGAATAAGGTTGGCGGATTCTGAGAAATATCCGCATATCCGGAACTGAAAGTCGAACCGAAAAGTTCGGATTTACGAATTTGGAACCGTAAAGCCCAAAAAATAAGTCAGTATTCTCATTTCAGCACCATACGCGAAAGTTTTGAATTAAAGACGAGAAATAGGGCGAAAAGGTCAAAAATAGGTGAAATTCTTGTAAATATGTAGTGTAGAAAACCACCCTGTCCCAAATATACAATCATTTCAAAGAGAAGAAGAATGTAACTCGAAAGATTGCTTTTTTCAAAAATTCAGCTCGAAATAAGAATAAACTCGAACGAAAAATTCGAATCTGAAAAAATACCCCCCCCCCCCTTACCGAAAACTGGACGCTAATTTTTATTACTTTAAAATTAAAAAAACGGATTTTTAAAATTCAGTCAGATGATCATTTGCTTCATAGACCATTCATGACATTTCTACAGAATTCTTGGGTTGATTCATGTGAAAAGAAGGATGCAATACTAAATCTAGCTGGGTATACAGATATATCAAAAAACAAATATTTTACGCAAAAATATTTATTGTTCCGAGGTGGTTGCAGGTAAACTTAGTTTTCAATAGCCAGATCAATTAGGCTTAGTTTTAATCGGTTAAATTAGTTTTTAATTTGGATTTAAACATTGATATATTTTGTGTGTAAACAAAAGCTTAGCTTTAAAAAAGAGTAAGAGAGCGGGATAAAAGTTTAATACCGGCAGGCTTCGATCCTGCGACCTCCTGGCAGTTTTTGCTAGGCGCTTTCGCTCACGCGTACAGTTCTCTACCAACTGAGCTACCGGAACGCTGCTTCCACATTTTCTTTTAATAGATCTTAAACCCCCGCCTAGTGAGCGTTTTAAATGCTAGCCAGCTGGATCTTTCTCTTCCTTACTAAAGTTTATAAACTTAAATTCTCTAGCATTTTGACACTCAGCAAAAGACTTTCTTCATACATGGATTATCCGGCTATTGATAAAATAGCTTCATACGAACTTGTATTTTCAATGCTTTTACAATTTAATGTAAAAGATTATGCCAGTTCATTTAATGAAAATCAGAAACAAAAAATTAAAAAGATAATTTGGCACTCTAATGGAATTGATCACTTTTACAAAAGAGTATTTTATAGAATTTTTAATTTAGGTTTGAAATTTATAATAACAAAATATTTGGATTTAAAAAAATTTAGAGGTAATTGAAATATACTCCCTCATCAAAATTTATTTTTAGAAACTGGTAATAGTAGATTCAGATTAAAATTTCTACTCATTTCTACTTACGAAATCCTTGAAATTTGGAATCTAATTACAACAAAAAAGGGTTTGATGAAGGGTTAATCTTGAAATAAAAGACAATACATAGCCAATACATAGCCTAAATTAAATTAATGATACTCTTATTAATTTAAGTCTTGTTATTATTATAGATTCACATAAATATTTTACTCAATTTGACCAAATTGATTTCAATACTACTCCATCTTATATTGGGGGGTCATTTAATACAAATGAAATTTTTGATAATTTTCACCTGTGGGTTGATGAGAAGTGCACATTGGAAGGAAGAAATGTGTAAGAAACTTTTATAAATATGCTCGACTAAGTAGCAATGGTTCATTCTGAATTTTCAAATTAATATAATCTCTGGCGCTGATCGGAAACTGCAAGGGTGTCGGTAATCGGGAGTGTCAGAAATCAAATTTTCGATTATAATCCAAACCTTAAAAATAATTATGTGACATGATGATAGTGGCACATTTTGGGCTTTCAAATAAACCCAAAATGAAATTTTCATTTTAGCTGTAAGGTGTCGAAAATATTTTTTAAAGACGTCTACCCCCGGTTTTCCGTTGATTTTCGGGGTTTCAGATCTCAATGGAATTATATTGGAACTTCGTTTTTTTGTATATACTATAGATATTAATATATATGTTTACAGGAATTTTTGTAGTTTTTCGGACCACCCTTAAGTCGTAAACTTATTTGGAACCTCGAAAACAAGCTTGATCTCCTCGATCATAAAACTCGCGAGTATTGGGACATTCATAAAAATTAACTTTAAGCCAATCCCAAATCTGCAATATTTGGATAAATGAAGATACTAAAAGATATTATAATGAAATTAATAAAATAATTTCTGGCAACTTTCATCCTCACAAATTTATTTTATTTTTCAATGAATATGCTGTTATGAATGGAAAGGAATTTGTAGGTGTTTTGATGAAATTTCTCAAGAAAATGTTCGAAACAAAAAATCTAATCGAGAATAATAAAAAAGTGTCAAAAAGTTTATGGAAGTTTCTCAAAGGAAATTTATTTAAAAATTTAGAAGAGAGAGAAGCTCAAATGGGTTATACTACAAGCTTTCGTAGTTATAATGGTAAAACTGTTATTGGGCAATCGGAAAACAGAAATCTCAATAAAGTTTTCAATCTGAATGAGGATTTGGCCAATTTTTATGAGGCAATTAATAAAGAAGTGGATAGTTTAAAAATTGATAATGAAGGGATTAGTCAGAATAGGTATAATTTTTAGAGCTTCTTTTCTATATTTTGCTTTACAAAAATGAGATGAATTTGCATTTGTTCTTTACTGACCAAACTTTAAAAACTAGAGTTGGAAATAACGATACTGGTATCAGCCAACCCGAGACCAAGATTGACTGATACTTAAGAACTCGAGACCGAGATCGATACCATCATCGGTCTCTTTGAGCCGAGACGATACCGAGAAACGATACTGACCGAGATTAACAGAAATTTTTTATTTTATGTCAAAAAATACGTGTAAAAATAATTTATTCATTATTTTCATAATTCAAATCATCAGATAATACTCTTACTAATACTCCATCATCTGGTTCCGATTTGATTGATGATGCCAAATAAATTTTATACAATCTCGGTATCGGTCTCGTCTTTTCCAAACCTATTAAAAACTTGAAAGTACAGCTGAATTAAAGATTAATCTCAATAATTTAAATCTATTAATTAATATTTAATTATGTTTTCTAATTTAAATCTTTAAACTAGTCGTTCTGTAAATATAAATGCTAAGTTGCATCAAATGGCATTAAATCTTTACACTCTGCATGGAATTGCCCATTTGGTGCATGTTGCATGGCCAATTGCTCAATATATTTTATGGAATATTGATTGCGTTCCTGATTTTATTTCTTTGCCTAAATTTAGCAAAAAATGGAAAATTCGAGATGGAAAAAATTGGTTGCAGTCAGCGCTCATAGAAGGTAGAGGGTTGTCGGTTATTTAAAACCTTCCAATATCCGAAACTGAAGCAATAATTTGTTTAAACTTTGGCTAAATATAGAGTAGTGTGAGGCTAAAATTGCGGGCTTCCCAAAATTTTCAGAAATTATAAAAAAATTATCATTTGCCGAAAGTTATTCTTAAGAAACTCTCTGCCAAACATCTAAACTTAAGTTTAGACCACCTACTGAATCGTAATTAAATTAAAAAATATTTTATGATTTAGTGAATATTTATAAATTTTAATAAATTTGGGTGGATTTAAGCTAAAAATCTCTTTAAAAACCTAGGTTATCTCGGTCTTCGACCTAAGTCTCGGGTCCAAATTAACTTTTCGACCTCGACCTTGGCTTTGCCAGCCTCGATGATCCTAAGACTTGCTTTTTTCAAAAACCTCAATTTCGCGCTAATCTAGTTATAAAGTTTATCAAAGCCCCAAGTTACCAAAATGTTAATAAAAACCCGTGATTCTTTGACACAAATTGAAAAAACAAATTAATAAAAATAAATACAACTAAAAATTTTAAGTTCGTGATAGCAAAATGTTTCCTTCAAAAAATAGTCAAGATTTAACTGAACTTCTTACTTTCGAAAATAATATTGAAAATGACGGTGCTTCGTCTTCTATTGGCCAAGAAATCCATGCAAATGAATACTTGGAGGGAAAAGAAAACGAGTCGAGTTTTTACACAGATATTTGGTTTTGGTTTTATTTTAATCTAAAAGAGGATGAGCATGAGCAAATGATTAAAAATCAAATAATTCAGGGCAAGTAAAATAATAATTTTAAAGATTACCGCATTTTGTTAAAGCTTAATTTAGTAATTACAGAGTGACATAAAAGTAACTGCACACTATTCAATTAACCATAACTTTTCAAATTCCTTTTAGAGCTTAGCTTATAAGCCTGATTCCATTATTTAAAATTTTTCCTAAAGATTTAGCGTTCGCTAAATTTCAACTCTTTCCAAAGTTAAAATAGTTCTGTCCAAAAATTTTTAAAAAATTACTGTATGAAATTTTCTGGGAAAATTTTTTCTAAAACTTATTTTATGAAGTAGGCATGACTGTTTTCTTTATAAAAAGTGAAAGAATTCTATCAGTAAGTACACCCAAGATGATAAAAATTGTTTTCATTTTTTACTTTACAATAAATGACTAAAACTAATGACTAACTAAACTTTCGATAATAACTGAAAAACTATATTTATGTAATTGTTATAAAATTAAACTTAATTCTTCAAAAAATTAATCTTCTTAGAAAGTATATACATATAATTTTAAATTTAAGACCCAACATTAAATTGTGAGGATGACGAAAAGATTTGTTCAGGAAATTCTTCTAAATCTTCGCTCAAATCATTTGCAAATAATCTACTCAATAAAATCTCTATTGGGGGGTTGAAGAAGGATTTTAGTAAATATCAAAAAATCCCAAAAATAATTGAAGGAAAAGACGAAATAAAATTTAAATCTGAGGTGGACAATGAAAACATAATTAAAAATAAAAAAGGGAAAGAACCAATTAAATATGATAATATTTTGACTATAGAAGGATGTGGACCGTGGTTGGCAATTATGTGGTTTTCATTTAAAGTTGTTGTTTTTGGATTGGGGTGGATGCTGTTGGCTTTGCAATATTTTCCTTAGAAAATAAAAATTAAATTTTAAGAAGGATTTAATAAATATTTTGATTAATTTTATAATTCAACACTTTGTAATGTAAACGTGTGTAATTTACTTTTAAATATATAAAGATTTTTTAAATATGTAGATCAAACATGCACGAAACGTTCCGTATCGTTGTTTTATTAATTTTGTTAGTTGATTTCCTGATTAATAACAGGATGATAGTATCGTTAATTCTTATTTCAAACATACGTAAAAGTATGAAAAAAGGATGATCAGATCTTAATAAGAAATAGTTTTCTATTATCACAATTTCGCTCACTTTTCTTGTGTAATATTCGTTCAATCTTCTAGCAATTAGAAATCCCGAAATTTATGAAGTCTGGGAAATAAATTTCCGAGAAAGATTGCACTTTTAACTTTTATTCAATTTCCTTTGTGTTCAAATTAGGGGTGGTTCCGAAATAGTTTTTCATGTTTGGGACCTACTCCGACTTGGTCTGGGTCAGTCGCGTAACTTATTCCTCAAAATTTCTGAAAGTTATAATCGTTTTTTAACTTAAAATATTTGCCGTAACTTTAAAAAATTTCTAGGAATAGGGTAGGGAAAGGTCCCAGAACCAGTGGCGCAGGACACGAATATAAAGAACTTTTACGGAACACAACCCCAACTTTAAAACACAAAGAATTTTGATCTAAAAATGAATTTGGACACGGTAACATATCTAATATGTACTAAAAGTTGTATAAATTTCAGTTTTAAATCAATTATGTCAAAATTTCTTCATAAATCGACTTGGATAGGATTGTCGTTCGAAAATTATTTGTATCTAAAATTATTTGAATCTAAAATTATTTGTATCTTTTTGCCGATTTTTTTAGCTCATCCACACATTAAGCCAAAATCATCCCTTTTATAATGAACAAACCATGGAATAATTTTTCCTCCTTTCACCACACTCGAATTGAAGGAACGAAGATTTTACGATTCGGTTTTTCTATTAGGAAGTGGGTAAGGACCCACTTCCTAATAGAAAAACCGAATCGTAAAATCTTCGTTCCTTCAATTCGGGTCCTTACCCACTTCCTAATAGAAAAACCGAATCGTAAAATCTTCGTTCCTTCAATTCGAGTGTGGTGAAAGGAGGAAAAATTAGATATAAATATATGTATTTATTTCTTTATTTATTTATCAATTAAAAAATGGGAGAAGGAAAAGTAAAGTTAAAGTAAGAGTGGTTTTTTGGTTAAATTGGCCAATCTTATATTCGGTTATTTTAAGAAAAGGGAATCAGTGACAGATGTTTAAAAATTATTACAATTCTATCAAAATTTATTTTCATATCTTCACAAAATTATAAGATAATATTCTTGGACCTCTTCAGCCATCTCAAAAACTTTTTTCGACAATTCTGTAACCCATTGATTTACACCTTCAAAGTCGGCAAAACCAGCATAAATATTCGAATAGAATTGCCACAAGAAAACTTTGATTAAATTTGAAGAGCTAAGAGTTCGATTTGAATTTGGATATGTCAATGCCATATCTGCTGCATAACATTTTGAATCAAGCATATTTAATTCATTTTCAATCAATTTACTTAATTCTCCGGGTAACTTGTTGGAAAACCGTGTAACAAATTTAGAACGAATCATATCGATGATTAGTTCATAGTTGTTATTCCTGAAAATTATTTTAATTTTTTAGAAATTGTTAAATCTTTTAGTAAGATTTATGGTTTTTGTAATTATGATTAGTTGTAAAGTTTTATAAATTATTAAGTCTTTGGCCGTTTATAAGTCTGAGGATTGAGGTGCAATGCTATAGCTCGTAGTAGAGCTTATTTATAATATCCGCTGATTGAAACATAATTTACTTAGACTCATAAAAAAATTCTGGAAACAATTACCGTATATGCTGTATTAATTACCCTGGGCAATTATTGTTTCGATCTCTTGCTAGAGGGAGTAATAAAAGCATGTGGGGTAATTATTTGAGGGAGGATAATAAATACAATATATACGGTAAGTAAGAATTCTTCATAAACTACCTATTAATAAATTTGATATAAAATTTACTTTATAATTACCAAAAAAATTTTTTTCTCTTGATAAATATAGAGATAGAAAGTCACGATAAAATTTAAAAACATTAATAAAAAACTAACCGTCGAGCTAAATTATTTAAACGATCAATCTCAGCTTTTAAAATATCATCTACTATAATATCAATTGATTCTTTATTTATATGATAGAATCCATTTTCTTGTTTCACAATTTTATCAAAACGAAAGATATAATTTAATCTCAATCGAGTATAATAATTATTTGTTATCGATATTATACTTTTGTATATAGCATAGTTAATTTCATATAGGCGGTTGTTGGGTGCAAGCTTTAAATTGCGATATTTAAAAAATTTTTAATTATAAATCATATAACATATGAAATTTATTTCATAAACTTAAAAGCTACAATATGTATCCGCGCTACTTCTACTATGTATCCAAGCATGGTGTAGGATTCTCGATTAATTTTGTTCCTTAGATATTTCTTTATCATATAAATTATATTTGATCTCGATATTTTTAATTTGAATAAAGTTATGCCAAAAATAGTGTGCACGGTAACTTTTGGGTCAACCTGTACATAACAAACAGAAAATATTTAATCACCTCTAAAAATAATTTTTTTCCAATTGGTACAACAATAGCATTTTGCAGCCAATCTGCCGTATACATTTCAACAAATCTGCTAGAAACCAATGTCGACTCTGAAAGGTAAGCGATGCTTCTAAAGATATTTATTCTCGCAGATTGAGAATATAAACTTTCCATTAAATCCACAAAAGTTAAATAAAAGAAAAGAAATATTTTTGTTTTTGGCTGAATTTGTCCAGGACTTTGAAATTCCTTTTGAAAAATTTTAATATTTAGATAAACCTATTCATAAATAAGGGCTTTTAAAAATACTATACCTTTTTAAGAAATAAATTGTTTTAAACAAAAAATTTATTTATTAAAACTATAGAAAAATTAAACTTCAACGAATGTTTAAAACTTGTTAATAATTTAAACAAATTTAAACATTATTGTAAATTATAAACAACTATTTCTACTGACTCAGAAAAATTATCATGAATTTATTTACTTACCTGCATTCGATTATCTACATTTTTTAAAAATCCAGTTAACGAATCACTCAAATGTTTTAAGTTAGCAAATGCTTCTAGATTGATTACTGTATGTATTGTTTTTTCAATTTTTTGGTAATAATTATTCAAATTAAGGTTACATAAAAGATTAATTAGAAGAAATTTGTCATCTCCTGTGTTTAATGATAAATTTAAAGATAATAAACTAAAATGTTTTATATAAAATCAGGAAAAGCAGTGTTCGTTTAGTTCCGGAAACTTCATCGAGAAATGAGCCAATAAATGGAGAAGATAATCAATTTATTTATTTATTTTCATGAACCCGGTCATAATTTTGAAATTAAGTTTGGATTTTGATAAATTTTGGATAAATTTATTAACGAAAAAAATAATTGTTTATTTAATTTATTTTTTTTTTCAAATTATTTAATAAAAACATAATTTCTAATTACCCGGTTTATCTATACGAAGTAATTTCTTTGTCATAAAAATTGAAAGAGGATCAAAAATCATTTCATATTTTTTATTAATATTTATCATTTCAGTAACTTTTCCAAAAAAATTTAAAGCAAAATTATCATCCTCAAATAAATTTTTATTTTCCTCATTTTGCTTTAATATATTAATTATTTCATTAATTTTCTCATTATTTTCATCAAATTCCAAATTATTTGAAACAATTTTCTCAACAATATAATTAATTCTTTGCAAAAAACATTCAACAAAATCATTAGAAATTATTGCTTTTCGAACTTTTTCATCAATTATTTGTTCAATTAAACTTTCTTTACAAAAACTTTCTTCATTAAAATCAGCCCAAAGAAAAGTCAAAATTATTATTCTAGCCTTAAAAATATCTTCAACTTTTGAAATATTACGAAATGAATTTTCCATTAAACGTCTAAGATGTTCCTCTTTATTTAGTGGAATTTCATCAAGAATTGTTTCTATTTCTTTAGTTTTTATTAAATTTTGTAGAAGGAAAAGAAAAACTAAAAATAATTAATTTGATATTTTTTTGTTAAATATTTTTAATTTTTTTTGACATGGAATATAAAGTAAAATAATTATTTTTAAATCCACAGGATTTAACATTTATAATATTAATAGAATTTTATATATGTATTTGATAAAATAATAGATATCAACTTACATAAAAGGAAAATGAATTTAATTTTCATTCTTTAATTAAAAAATTATCAATCTAAAATTTAAAAAAAATTATTTTTAATTCCCAACTTTGCCAAAATGTTGACTCCGGTTATATTAAAAAGTGGTATAAAATGTATCTTGTCACTAAATATGAAAAAAATATAAAAATCTTTTATTATTTGCCAATGTTTTTGAACTAGAATAATTCTATATCTGATATTTTCGCTTACTCCTTATTTACTATACAATTACTTTTATGCCACAGACCTTACTCATAAGCTACAAGACCCCTATTGTACTCCCTGAACTTCCTCCAGCTCATGGATATCATCCTTTAAACCCAACGGGTAACTATAGTGAGTTCCACTGTAGTTATTATTTTATTTTTTAAAATAATGGTGTTGCAAAAGTCACGGCACATAAGTCGCTCGACATATGTGTGCACCGCGGAAAAGTCACGGAATCCATATCCGAGGTGTTTATTTACTAACACTATGTGAGAACTCTTGGAATAGCAGAGAAAACAGGATACATTTATTTATTATAGCAAGAATAAAATGATTAAATAATTTTGAAATATTTCTATTAAAAATATTTTTATATGGCATTATGAAATGATCGGGCAGACTAAAAAAGATATAAAGTGCAAATCATAAAGGGCAAATATAAAGGGCATTATTGAGAAATTTATTTAATTTGTTGAATAAATCACAGGATAAAAAATGCACTTATTATAAAAAATAAATAAAAAATAATTAATAGAGAAATTAAATTATGTTAAGTTGCCTAGAATGTTGTAAAAATTTGGAGGAAAGAAAATAAAAAAGGTTAGTTACGTAATTTTACATATTGTACATACAAAGTCTGCTCAAGAGTCTCGGTTTTGCTTCCCGAGTCGAGAAATTTCTGAGTTTTTGAGCGTCTCGATCTCGGTATTTTAATACCGGAAAACGGGAAAAATTTACTCCCCTAATGATGGAAATTTTCATGACCAATTGGCTCTTCCAAAATCACACAAAATTTTCGCCTGAAGCGCTGTAAATGTAAATTGAATAGAAATTTTTAAATGGAAATTCACTACAAATAGAGATGTTGAAGCAGTGGCTCATAAATAGGGACTCACAAAACATGCAAATGCATGTTTTGTATGCGGATATGCCGTGAGCTGGTAAGCCCAAAAATGGTGTTTTTACGTTGGTCCGAGCACTTTGAGTCCCGGTTCTTAATGCATATATTTGCATATTTCGGCCCTTCCGTGCATATTTGTGCATATTTTGGGAAATTTTGCATAGTTTGGTCCATAATTCGTCATTTTTTGGCAAATTTTAGTAAAAATTGAGGAAAATTTTGGAAATTTTTGTTCGAAAAATTTTTTTATAAAAATTTTTCGAAAAAATTTTTCGAAAGATTTTTCGAGTAAATTTTTTTTCAAAAAAATTTTAACATGAATTTTAAATCCATAAAATCATTTATATGTGCTCATGAAATACAAAATTATAGGGTAAATTAGTAGTAGTTAACACCCATACTACGGGACAAAAAGGATACCGCCAACCTTTTGATTAAATGCTTAACCGCAAAGATGATTTATGTTCGCGCACAATGGAAACCTATTGACAGGTTTGGTGGGGGAGGGGTCCGCTTCCGGTAAACCAAATCCTAAGGAAGGGTTCTGAGTGAGAGGGGAGGGGTCCGAGCCAAATCCTGAAAAGGGTTTTAGAGTCTCGCACATCAATTAAGTGGTAGGGGAAGGTTTTCTTGTACTAATTATTGTAATTTGTTCGCGCACGTGCGGTAAAATTTCGAGATATTTGTGTACTGGGTGGGAATTCTTCCATCCAACAAATTGACCGCACCGCGGTAAATTGTCCACCTACTTTTTCTTTCTATATTTCTCTAATTTTTTCTCTCTTTTTCTCTTTTTTATATTTTTTATAGCAAGTGAACATACTTACAAAAAAAAAGAGCAGGATGTGTGTTTGGTTAGGTTGTGTGCATTATTGATTTGTTTTTCAATAATGCACACAACCTAACCAAACACACATCCTGCTCTTATTTTTACGTCATTTTTAACTAAACCAAAATTATTTTATTTTTATAAAAAAATTTTTTCAAACAAAAGTATTATTTTTTAATTAAATTATTTTATTAAAAAATTTTTCAGATAATTATTAAAATTTTAATTATTTTTTTCTAAATTTAATTTCTAAAAAAATGGATATGGATAATAATCAACAACAGTATTCGTCTAAAAAGGAGAAAGGTTTTGTTAAATCGTTTTACTTTTGACTTTATTTTTTAGAAAGTCTTAAGGATTCTGGCAAAAAGAAGGTCAAATTTGAAACTTCCTCCGATTCTTCTGTTGATGACTTTGAAATGGTAGAAAGTGCTAAAAATGATGGTGTGATCAAAAATGATGCTCAGGCAAAGCGTTTTGGTATATTTTTTAATCTTAATCTAGTTTACTATCCAGTAAAGGGTTGGGATGGGAGGGTAGAACCCTGTAAAGGGTTGGATGGGTAGAACCCTGTAAAGGGTTGGGTGGGTAAAACCCTGTAAGGGGTTGGGCGGGTTAGGGGAGGGTAGCCCTAAAAGGGTTTTTAAGGTTTAAAACCTTGTAAAAGGTTTTTTTTCAGAATGCAAAAGAATCTATGGAAAGAACTTGGTCAATAACCCTCTTCATCTTATTCAATCCACTTCATCTGGTAAATTTTAAGATTATATAATAAAAAATATTTATTAAATTCAGATGTTCCACTTCCCAAAAGCGAATTTTCTACTCCAAAAAACAATCAAAAGAATATGTGGTATGTTTTTAGTAAAGATTTTAGTAAATAAGCTATAAATTTAGTGAATTCGGCTACCTCCTAAACACAAGTCAATTTGAAGTTGAAAAAATTTTAGACAGACGTGTTGTAGAAGGCAATAAGGTTGAATATTTGATTAAATGGAAGGGTTATGATAATTCGAGAGACAATACTTGGTATTAATTTTTTATATTTGATTGCGATAAAAATCTAGGGAGAGCGAGGAGAATTGTGATTGTCCTGATTTAATTAAAAAATTTAATAATAAGAAGAAGAACAACAAACTATCACCCGTTAAAAAATATAAATTTGAAAAAATATCTGAAGTTGAAGAAAAGATGCAAAATAAATTTGATAGACCTTTAAGATCGGCAGCCTACGAAGCGTTACAAAAAATTTTTAAAAATGACGTACTATTTTTTATATTTTGAAAATTTTTTTTATTATTTTTTAAAGTTTAATAATAAGGATATTTTTAATGGAAATTATTTGGATGAGGAAGAACAAATTGTAAAAATTTTTATATTAAAAATTTTTTTTTATTATTTTTTAAAGTTTGAAGATGAGGAAGAAATTTTAGATGAATATGTTTTGGCTGAAGAACAAATTGTAAAATTTTTATTTAACAAAATTTTTTATTTTTTAAAGTCTATTGAGGAAGGGGAAGAAAATGCATTAAATAATAATACTTTGGTTGAGGATGAAAATAAAAATAATATGGATGAGGAAGAAATTTTAAATAAAAATTTGGCTGGAGAACAAATTGTAAAATTTTATATTTAACAAAAAATTTTTATTTTTTAAAGTCTATTGACTTTAAATTGCGGATCATAGTTTTGTCAGTGTAATATTTAGTGAGTGTTTTAATAATTTAATATTAGAAGTATTTTTAAGATTAGATTAGATTTAATTATAACTATTATAATCATATCATAACCTGATTGAGCTTCTTTATAAATCTCAACAGCTTTAATAGGGTTCTTAATTAAAATTACGACACCACCACCCGTTGCGAAAACATAAAATATCTCATTAAAAGTTAATTCATTTGTAATTATGAGATTATCACGAATCCATGTTTCAGTTACACATATAATATCAAAAGAGTTTAGTAAAATAAAATTCTTAAACTCATTAATTTTATTAATTAAAAATCAACTATTAAAAAGATTAGATTTAAGACCATGTTTAGTGTTATTATTATGTGTATTTTGTATTGCACCTTCACAATAAGCGCCTATTAGAGTAATTGATGAGAAAATACAGAGAATTTCAGCAAAAATTCATTTTTGCAAGTCATTTGCGGAAATGTGGAGGTCGAGCTTGACATTTATCGGCGATTAATAAGTTTATACAAAAGAAATAATAAATAAAAAATATACATAAAATATTTATAATGAAAAATATCTGCTGGCGCAATTACAGTTCATTAGTCCAATAAAAATATTAGTCCATATTTAATTATTATAGGAGTGCTGTATCATTAAATGGATATTGAGAAACTTTGAAACTAATGTATCCAACTTTCTAATTGTTTAGTCGCTAAAATTATAGTAGAACCCCTTACCCCCCCCAACTAAATATTAAAGGAAAATAGGAATAAACCCCCTCCTTTAATACTAATGGAAAATAGTGGTAAATGGGTTCTACTATTGCTACAATTTATACAAGCTGAAAGGAATTTTAATTAAATTCCAATACAGCTTTCTGACCTTTCACAATAACCAAAATATTTTAAACCATTCATTTGAAGAATAGACATTACTATAACTTTAAACTTTTTGGATAAATATTTTAATTGAACTAATGAACTATAATTGAATACTTGGGCCATAAATCCTTCTTTTAAAAATCAAAAATATTTAATTTACATTTTTTGAATGAATTTCTTCAAAATTTTCAAATTCCAAATTGTCAGTATCAATCGAACAATACCCTTTCCAGTTTTGAAATATATTTTCAATGAATGCGCGACAGTCTTTCAAAACATTTGGAAATTTGTTGCATTTTTTATCAAGATAGTTCTTGATAACTTCTTTTGTTGATTTGTACAAACTTAAAAATATTTTTTTAGAATTTTAAAAAAATTTTGGAAGTAAAAATTAATTTTAAGTAAATAATTACTTTATATCCAAAGGATTGGTTTTAACAATTTTAGCAAGTTTTTGAGCATATTTTTGTAGTGAATTGGTGTCTATGAATGCTTTAATCTTAACTACTCCATCTTCATTAAATGCCTCAAGAAATCGTTGGGAAAGGCAATACCCAACAAATTGATGTCCTGAATTCTTGAAAATATTTTTGAAATCTTCTTTATCTCCCGAAATATCCTCAAATATTTTCTCCCAATTTTTTAAAAGAAATTCCATCTTTTCCTCGATTATTTCGGCAAAATTATTTTGGTATAATTCTTTTTTAACCAATTTATTCTTTTCCATATATTTTTTAATATCAACAAGTTTTTTTCCAAAGTTTTTAGTTTTTGCTGTTATATCATTTAAATTTTCAAAAAATTTATTAACAGCAACTTCATGTTGATTAAGAGGAATTGTTTGGGGATTTGTGTGACTTTCTTTGTCGGGAATAATTTTATTGGATTGTTTTTGTATTGAGTTTTTGTATTGAGTGAGTTCTCCGTTGTTTATTGAAAATGATTGTTGGTGTGTTGCATCACCATGAGGCTTGTTACTACGAATTACATTAACAAAGTTTTTGTATTGAGTGAGTAGATCAGTAATTTTGATTTTTAAATGCTCATATTCCTTTTGTTTGTGTCCAGAATTCAATCTTAAGTTTTTATAAAAATTAGTTTTCATCCCAACACCATTTCTATTACGGGGGAGATTGAAGTGGCGATATTTAAAGATATTAAAAAATATTTGTTTAAAATTTGTTTTAGAAAAATAAACTTTAAATTAAATTATTTATTTATATTTCTCAATAACTTTCCTGAAATAAACGCCCTACTAACTAACATACAAGGGTCTAAAACAGGGTTTCGATATGTGCGGATTCTTCCCCATTTTGTGGTTTTTAATAGGTCGATGAGGATATTTTAAAAATGCGGATTTGCGAAATTTTGCGGTCTTTTGAAGATTATAAGGTAATAAAAAATAAAAATTAATTAATTTACGTGTAATCTAGCGATTTACGATACAAATTATTATGCCATTCAACAATGAATTTGCATTTTTCAATAACATTTTTACTTAAATTTTTTACAAATTCATAAATTTCATTTTCCTCTTCATCACCAAAATAGCTTTTTTCTTCACAATTTGAACACATAACCTTAAAAAGTTTCCAATTATTTCCTTGGTGCTTTTTGTATTTTGAAACTATAAAGCTAAAAGCAAATAATGTTTGGTGACATTTTTCTAAAGAATTTTGGATTTTAAATTGTTGTTGCTCTTCAATGTTTGATTGTTTAATATCTTTATTTTTTAACTGAAAGTTTCGGATAATTAAATAAAAAAATAAAATTTTGATTAAATGTTTCAGAAGTGATATGAGAATTTTAAAAAATCCATTCTTACAGTTATTAATAGAGCCAGGATTTTTAGGCAAATGCCTGTTTTTTTCCTAGATAGGCCCGATGCTGAAACGTTCAAATCCGGTGTTATTTTACTAAAATCTGATTTCTAACTACTTTTATCGTTGCCTAAAATTGCCTATTTTAACCTTTTCTGGAAAAGTGCCCTATTTTGCCTTTTTTCAGCCTATTTTGCATATTTTTACTAAAATTTGCGAATTTTTGGGCATTTATTAAGAAAATTGTTGACTAAAAAATTTTTTCCTTGTAAAATACAAAATTTTTCCAAAAAATTTTGGTCAAAAAATTTTTTTGGTAAAAATTTTCATCTGAAAAATTTCTTAAATTATTTTTGGAAACAAAATAATTAATATAAACTAATTTATATGTAATTCTGATCGTCAAAATTAATTTATTTAACATTTTAGTGCTTAGATTTATCTTTTTTGATAAAATTTAATCAATTTAAATCAGAAAATCTCGAAAAAATACTGCCTATTTTGCCCTTTTTCGGATTTTGGTGCCTATTTTGGCAGGTTTTTAGTGCCTATATAGGCGCCTATTTTTAACTTTATCGTGCCTATAAATCCTGGCTCTAGTTATTAACTGTAAAAATGGCCAACAAATATTGGCCATTTCTACAATTAATGGCCATTTTTTGAATTATTAATTAATTATTTTATAAATTAATTTACTTTTTCAAGTTCAACTTTCATTCCAGAATATACATAATTACTATTTAGATGTTCAATATTTTTTGAAATAAAATTGAGGACATAATGAGCCTCCGTGAATGTCATTTTATGTTGAGAATGAACTTGCACTTTGAGGGAAAAAATTTTAAAAACAATTTGTTTAAAAATTAACTTTATAAAAGATTATATTTTTAATCTAGTATTTTGGCTGTTCCCAAAATACATGTTTAATTATTTAAAGAATTGATATTTAGCTAATTTTGAGAGTAAAAACCCCTAAAATGCTTGAAATAAGCCTCACAAAATGAACTAAACATTTTTGATCATTTAAGCTTTATTAACACTTTAATTTAACCAGAATTGTTATTTAGGATTAAAGTTTATGTTTGTTTGTTTATTAATTATTATTTTAAATTAAATCCAAACTAAATGCTTTTTTAAATTGTTCCATTTCCTCTGATATTATTCCAGGAATTTTTGGGGTTTTAATTCCAATCATTTCCATCGTCGCAAGATGGAATCCATCTTGTTGTAATGAATGGGCTTTAAATATTGGCAATTAAAAATATTATTTTATAAAATAAATGTTAAAATTTTTTACCTAAAAGGAGGAAAAGTTCAAACAAGTTAAGGGAATTAAAATACATGTTTCAAATAAAAAAATTTAATTTTGAGAGTAATGCATATAGGGAGAATTCTAATTAGCTTTATACACTGCTCCACATAATTATAAGTCCACCCCTTTTTTCGGGATTTTTTGACTCCCAGTGATCCAAATTTTCTGAAAATTTAGAAACACACCTTTTAGTGAATAACTAACAAGGTGTGATTCGATTTTTGGCTGAATTTTTATTTAAAAAATTTTTAGGCCAAATTTTGTGTTTTCGGCCTCCACAAAATTATAAGTCCACTTTTCAAAAAAGATATTTTCAAGTTTAGGAAAAATCTACAAAAATTCTAGCAACAATATATAATGATATTATGAAAAAATAAAAACGAACTAGACCCATATCTTTACCCTGAGCCGAGATCCTGAGACCTCAAAAATCAACGTAAAACGGGGGTAAGGCTCTTTAAAAAAATTTTTCGACCCCTTATCAATTATTTTCAATATTGATTTTGGGCTCATTCGACAGCCCTTGAAATTTGCTACAAGATACGTATAGTCTTATTTTTCAGAAAAATTCCTTAGAGAGACACAAGACGAAAAGATTTCTAATCGTCATTATAGGGCATTTTATGGGGCATTTAGACGTTTTTTGCCGCATCAGAAGATTATCGCCTTGTGTCTCTCTAAGGAATTTTTCTGAAAAATAAGACTATTCCTATCTTGTAGCAAATTTCAAGGGCTTCCAAATAAGCACAAAATCAAAATTTACAGTAATCCATAAGGGGTCGAAAATATTTTTTAAAGTTGAAAAACCCTGTTTTACGTTGATTTTCGGGGTCTCGGGATCTCGGCTCAGGGTAAAGATATGGGTCTAGTTCGTTTTTATTTTTTCATAATATCATTATATATTGTTGCTAGAATTTTTGTAGATTTTTCCTAAACTTGGAAATATCTTTTTTGAAAAGTGGACTTATAATTTTGTGGAGGCCGAAAACACAAAATTTGGCCTAAAATTTTTTAAATAAAAATTCAGCCAAAAATCGAATCACACCTTGTTAGTTATTCACTAAAAGGTGTGTTTCTAAATTTTCAGAAAATTTGGATCACTGGGAGTCAAAAAATCCCGAAAAAAGGGGTGGACTTATAATTATGTGGAGCAGTGTATAAAGACAAAAGTCTATTGTTACACGTGCCTAGATAATTTAAATTTATATAGTCTTATGCACTTAGACTATTGTCTTAATACCTATTTGAGACCTTTAATTTAAATATATTTATTTGGAAGTCTCTTTAAAGAAGGGTTAACAAAGGTTAAAGCTTCTTAGCCAGGATTTGTCTAGACTTTTTTGACAAAGACTTGTCTAGACTAGTTCCCTCGCGCCGAGTCTGAAATTTTAGAATTGTAATAATTTTTTTAAAAATCTTAAAATGTTCTTAACGCTTTATCATAACTTATTTGTGATTCAACAAATGTTTAAACTTATTAAAATTTTTAATATAACTTGTGGACTTGTGTGATTAGGGTAGAAATAAACCTAACATTTAAGGATCTTATTTTAATTATTTTAAATTAATTTAAACTCACTATATTGTAACTTCCATTCATTAGGCCTCTCAAATTTGAAATTTTTCTTATCAATATAACAATATTTTGGCCAGTTTATTGACAATTTAAATTTTATATTTTTTGTGCAAAAATATTTATCCCCATCGTCATTATTGTCATTACAATAGTTAATTAGTTCTTCAACTATTTTATCGCGTATTTTCAAATAAAAACTGGAAATTTATTTTTATTAATTAGAATAATATTTAAAAAAGGAAAAAAATTTTAACAATTTTTCGAGAGTATAAGGCACCTGTGTGCCATCCAACTCCAAACTCCCTAACCCTCCAACTACCAACACCAACCCCTCTATTATTTTCACATAATTCCTCCATAATATAAACTGGTTTTAAAAAATCCCTCAATCTCTCTCCGCTTTGATCTTGCGTAAACTTTTCCAAAAAAGTTTTGATAAAACTCCTGCATAAGGGATCCCGCAAACAGAATTTTGCCGATCACTAATATAAGGTTCCAAAATTTCTACAAAAAATTTTTGTGGACATTTCGATTGACTTTAAAATTTAATTTTAAATTTAATAATCCCTACATTTTATCCAAACTTTTACTTCCCAATATTTCATTCAATTCAGCAGCAAATTCAAGTAAATTTACGTTTGTTTGATTTTTAATTAAATTATCAATATCAGGCTTTCCTTCTTCATTAAAAATAATTATAAAACGATTAACTAAACAATAACTAATATTTAAAATTGAAATTTTATTTAAAGGGTTATTTGAAGATTTTAAATTTTTTGTTTGGATTTTTTGTTGTTTTTTCCAATTTTTTACTAAAAATAAAAGTTTTTGCATTATTCGTTGAATATAATCTGAAGTAGATTCTTTTATTATTTTTGAGAAATAATCGAAGGATTTTGAATTAAATTGTTTATCTAAATTTTTAATATTTTGGTGAAGTAATTCTTAACTTAAACTTTATTTTATCTAAAAATAACGAAATAGTAAACTTAATAAGGTTAGTTATTCTTCTCCACTAAAGCTCTTGTTCTATATGCTCCACCTCAGGGAAAAGTTAACCGGTCGTATCCAAATATTAAATTTATATAAAATTAAATAATAAATAAATCTCTTGTAGTGCATTATTTTTTAAGAATAATAATTTCTCGGCTGTTACTAGGCCTAGAGCTGCCGGATTTAGTGCTGCCAAACTGAAAGTCTGGTAGTCTCTCTACCCTGGTTCCAAATTTAATTTCAATTTTTTATACTTAATTAAAAACATTAATATTTATAAAATACCATTTGACTCAATCATTTTAAATTTCTCCATAGTCAACTTATTCAAATTCAATTCATCGACAAATTTGCCCAAAGAATACTCAAATTTATCTACTGCAACAAAAAGTTTGTCAAAATAATCCTTGAATTTTAGTATTTCCTTATCTAATTTCAATTGACAAAAAAATTTAAATTGTTTGGCAAAATTCAAAAAAGAAGTTTTTATTGTTTCCAGCATCTTTTCAAGATCCTTTTTGTCATTATTGTTCTTGTTTAAATCACACAGACTTGTGAAATTGTAAAAAACCTCAAAATTATTTTAAATTATTACGTATGCCTTGCTAAAAAATTATAAATTATAATGCCATTTAAATCGAAATATCCGTTAATCTTGGGTAAAAAAGGCAGAAATAATAAAGTCTATGAATTATTTTTCATGTAATCCTAACTCTCGAATCAATTATTTCGAATTGATTCTGGGCTAGTTTTTTAAGTTTGTAATCACTGAAAATCTAAACTCGATTCAATTGGCAAAAATTGATGGTTCTTAACATCCATTTTGAGAAAAAACTCGATAAAAACCGATTAAGTAAAAATAAATTGTTTAATTCCTTCATTACAAACCTTAATTAGAAATGCGGCCTTTTGTTCAATTTTTTTAAATTCATTTTCAATATTTTCTGTTGATTTGCCGTTTAATTTATTTGGTAAAATTTGAAAGAATTTTTGTTGCTCAGTTATATCTTTCAAATTTAAATTTATATTGGCTAAAGTAAATTTGAGTAAATAAGCGGCAAGTGAGCATTGTTGGATGTGCACACGAAGCTGGATATTTGTTTCCAATTTGGAAAATTTTTCTTTGACAATTTCCATTTGATTTATATTGTTTGGATGTTTATTCAACTAAAAATTTATTATAATACATATTAAACTCAAATCTCTATAGGATGTCTCTCTGTTATCCAATAAGTATATATCCTCCTAATATGTCAACTCAATTCGGTCCCGAGGGATGTATTTAGTGAGAGCTGGCTTTGATTAAGAATTAAATAACGATTTTATATACGGGTTATCTAGGTATTTCTGTTTATAAATTCAGAAAAATATATTAAGGATCTATATTAAGGTCTAAAGAAAAATCGTGAACAAGATCGTTAAATAATAATTTTCAATAAATATTTATTTTATATCCAAACCTCAATTAATTCTTCATTTATTTCATAATTAATTGTTGCTTTATTTAATGCATCTTCTATAATTTTAATATTAAAGTCCCTCTCATTGAGTACCTCAGACACTGAAACTAGAATGTGATGTGCTTCAGTAAATGTTAGTTTATGCATATAGAAACGATCAACTATGAATTTAAAAAAATTAACAAAAATCAGAAATTAATTTAAATACGGGCATCATTATATAATTCTGCCCATTCCTTGCTTTCTTTGACCATTCCCGGCATTTTTAGCATATTTATTCCCATAAAACTTGAATCTGCGAGGCTAAAGCCATCCTCATAAATATATTTATCTAAAATTATTTAATTATAATATTTTTTCATAATTTATTAAAGTCTTCCTTTAACTTACTATGCATTAAAGCCCATTCTTCTGGACGTTCAAAAGTTGTATTCTTCCTTTCTATTGAACAATATCCTGCCCAATCTTTCATTAAGTTATTTACGTAATTTATACAAAAATTTTCATATTCGATATCCCCAGTTTTGCATTTTTTATATATTTTTGATTCAATTTGGCTCAGTATTCTTTTATAGTATCTTAAAGATTCTTAAGATGATTTAAAGAATTTATTAAAGAATTTTTAATTTTGGGATAGAAAGATTAAACTCTTTAATTTATTTTAATTTTATAGTAAAAGAGAAATAAATGTTCAGTTTTAGTCATTCTATTTGTCCCCTTTTAGAGAGGGCATGCCCACTTTTGGTGATCTGGAAAAGGTCACCCAGATTGTGAGTAGATTTGTGAGTAGACCTCTCGGTTCCTTCGTTCGGTTCGGTTCCGAACAGACAACCTTAATTGTGAGCAACTTTCGTCTTCATTAATTACTTCTTGGAGTAATTACGAACGACTAAGTTATTATTTAAATAAACTTTACTCAATATCCACACTTCTTTTGCCCAAAATATTTCCAATTAGAGCTGCATGTTCAAACATAAATGACTGATTTCCTTTAAAAATTCTTATTTTCGGTTTTCCTTCATCATTAAAGAAAATAATAAATTGTTTAACCAAACAATAGCCAACAAACAGATAACTAATATTTTTAAATTGCTCAATCTTCTCATAATTTCCTTTTATTTCTATAAAGATATTCATATTTTCTATTAAATATTTAAATTTTTCTGTCAATTGTTTTAAATAAATTTTATTTTCTTTATTTGCTAATTCCCTTAAAATATTTCTGTCCTTAGCCAGAAACTTTTCTTTTTCCTCTGAAAAAAATAAAAATTAAACAAAAAATTTCAAGGTTTTCTATTTCCTATTTCTCTAAAGCATTTAATTTGGTATGTTTAAATGAGTTAAACGTTGATAATCAAATAAGGATAAGGTTTTGCCCAGAGGTGGGTAGGTTTTCTTTCCGATTTCCAAAAAAAATTTGATTTCCGAGTTACGACATTTGAGCTTCCGATTTCCGACACCTCTGAATGTTCCGACCAACCTCTGGTTTTGCCTCCCCCCCCCCAGACCCTACAAACATTGTGATAAATTGTATTCTAAAATTATTTCCAGCCATTATAAATTACCCTTAATTAATAATTCCAACTTACTTTTGTTCATTCTCTCCACTAATTCACTAAATAAATTAATTTTATCTAAATTTTCATTCATTTTTTTAATAAATTTCTGAAATCCATAAACTTTTTCCCCAACTTTGTTTAAATATTTTTTTATATTTTGTGAATTATTTTTAGTTTCTTTAATAAGTTTATCGTTAAAGAAAATTTCAACGTTTTCGTAAGCCTTTTCTATATTTTTTATAATATTGTTTATTAGTTCTAATTTAATCTAAATTATTTTATAATAATTAAAAATATTTTTAAATAATAATTATACTGAAAAGGATTGTAAAAATACAAGCTTATATAAAAATTGAATAGACTTTTGATGGAAACAATTATTTGCTCAACATGAATTTATTTTTAAAAAAATATTTATTTATTGTAAAAAAGAGAAATCCAGCTGGCTAACATTTAAAACGCTTACTAAGCAAGGCTCCGTAGCTCAGTCGGTGGATCACATGTACGCGAAGGCGCTTAGCATTGATTACTTTTATGCCTGCTCAGGCTATACCTCTATCCGCTTCATACTTTATTATCACCTTATATCCACCTTATATCCCAATTTAACTCATCTAATATAAGCGATGAATAATAAAAGTATATGTGTCTTATTAAAGGAATTTCGGTAGTAATATATACTATTACAAGCACTAATTTGTGGATAGGATTGTCGGTTTAACCAGATTCTTCAGTTAACCGAACCGAACCGACAAACCTAACTGAAAATCGTCGGTCTTCCGGTTTGGTTCGGGTTGAAACAGACAATTCTATTTGTGACAAAAATCTTAAACTTTCGTTGGAGACTTTCGTTAACTGAGGAATCTGGAACCGACAATCCTAGTTTTTTGTCAGGATTTTTTGTTAACAATCCTGCCGGTTCGACAACCCGGACCGAAAATTCTTAGTTTTTATGGTTATTGTCAAAAATCTTAAACTATTTTAACTATTTTTTACAAAAATCTTAAACTTTTCATTGGAGAATATCGAGTATTTTCCCCAACTGTTAAAAAGTGTTTATTTTCTAATAATTAAATTCCAATCTACCAACCTCAGTATCTTCATATTTATTTTTGAAATCACATTCTGTTCGGAAATTTCCAATTATTTCAACAATAAAATTAACAGATTTATTATCACTTTTCTCCAAGTTTGCAATGTATTATTTAAATTTTTAAGAAAATCTTTCTGATTATTTTCATTGCTGTTTATATTAAATAATGTAAACTTTAATATTTTTGTAGTAAATAAACATTTTTTTATATTTTCTTTTAATTCATTATTTGTTTTAAATCCGTTAGAATTTCTTTTTAATTCTTCCAAATTATTTAAATTGGATGGTTTTTCTAGCTGTAAATTGTTAAAATTAAATTTTATAAATTTTAATTTTTTTCTTACTTTTTTCAACGAATTATAAAAATATTTGTTTATTTTAATTTTTGTTATTTTTTCGTTTAATTGTTTGAGAAATTCTTCGTTATTTGTTATTTCTTTAATATTTATTGTTTTGGAGAGAATTGTTATAAAATGATGGGCTTCAGTAAATGTTAGTTTGTGCAAATAAAATGAGTAAGCTGAAAAATATTTTTTGTTATTACTGATTTTTTAATTTCTTTTTTTAAATGTCTACACAATACTTACCCGTCCCTGTTTACCTGCGAGCAGAGATGGGTCGGAATTCCAATTTCCGAAAAAAAATTTTTGATTTCCGATTTCCGACTTTTGAGCCATTTCCGATTTCCGGCTCTTCCGATTTCCGACACCTCTGACTGTTCCGACACACCTCTGCCTGCGAGTAAGAGGAAATGGGAGACCATTTTTCTGCAGACCAAATTACCCCCCCCCCCTTCTTTACCTTTTCGGTTTTTACCTCCTGGCACCTCAGTTAACACCCCCTAACTTACATGTTTCTTCGTAAAAGCTCTCCCATTTATCAGTATCTATTCCAGGCATTTCTCTCATTTTCAACTGTAAATCATCCAGTTTAGCTTGAAAGAAGCCGGAATCTTCTATTTCTTCTTCTAAATTATATTAAATTATTTTTTAATTATTCTAGCTTTAAAATTTTTAAAATTTTTGTGAATTCCAAGTAATTTTTAGTGATATAAAAATTTTTAATTCAAATTTACCATTAATCAAATCCAAAGCAATTTTGCTTAAATTTATTTGTTCAAACAATTTCAATTTAAATTTTTTCCCCGTCAAAAAAGCATAACCTTTTTTCAATTTTCTTTTCATCCAATTCATTATTTTAACAACTCCTTTACCATAACCATAAGTTACTGACATTTTTGGATGATAGATATCATAAACTTCCTTTTCTGTTATTTCATCCAAATTTTTATTTCTTTCATTTAATCTTTTAATTGAACGATCAAAAATTAATCCAATCATTTCTTTGTTTCTAATTGTATCTGTAGACCAAAAATTTTCAAAAAATTCACTTCCAAAGTGATTAGCAGTTATATAACCTATTCCAAATTTGAGAAGTTTTGTTGAAGGATTAAACAAAATTCCAATAATTTTTTTAAATAAACTTGATAATTTAATAAAATGTGAGGGAATTGAGGTTAGTAGAAAACCAAAAAGGCTTAAAACTGCTCCAATCCCCATTGCGTTGATTGTCATTGAGGAATTTTTTTCGATATCCATTGAAGCACTAACCTGAAAAATAAAAATATTTTTATTTTAGGGTTGCAGTTTTCGAGTCTGGCCGACGGTCGAGGCATTTTTATCGGGCTTGTTTTTATTAAGTCAGGACTGTGCGAGTCAGTTCCAGGTCTAACATTATTAAGTCGGGCTTGTGCGAGTCACATACGTGCTTAATGTGTCTTACGCTGACTCGATCTTTCGGTCCGAGTCGGTCTCGGTCCATTTTGGCAACCCTAATTACATTATATTTTGGATTTTGGCTCCCATGTTTTACCAAAAATTTCTCCAAATCCTTCATTTTCCGACTTAAACGAATCGAGGATATTCAAAAATAAATTTATTTACTTCTTGAATAAATTATATGTAAATAATAACCTTATGTTTAATATATTTACTGAAAGCAACATTTCTTTCCTCGTTAGTAATTCCCATTCCCGATGTTAAAGAATGAGGTTTATTAATCACAAATAATTTTTGAACAATTTCTTTACATATTTGTTTGGTTTTAGAATTTTCCTCAATTCTACGTTCCAAAACAAGTTGTTCAATACTCGGTTTTGGAAAGAAGCCTTTCTTGTATTTATAATATACCCCAGCACGTAACAAATCTTTCATTACAGAATATTCAAAAGGCAAAATTGCACTAGCTGTAGATGAAGCAATCTAAATGTGAATAGATTATCTCAAAACAAAATTCCCTTTTTTACCTCATTCGAAAGAATACTTAATCCCAACATATCCCAATTCGTATCCATTTGTATCAAATTATCCAACAAAGAACCTCCAACAGCTATTTTCTCTACCTTCCAAGAATCTCTAAGATTATTCAAAAATCCTTCCAAAGTTGTTGGGGTAAAATTTCCTCCCTCAATCATTATCAAAAATCTTTGAAGAAACAACGAGTCAGCTATGTTAACAAATAAATTCGTTATAACAGAATATAATATAACAGATAAAGGAATATATAATGGTGGGCAAGAAATTGCTACAATTGCCAATAATGGTGGCCAAACAAAAACATCCAAAATTATGCTGATTAGCCCAGAGCCTGCTAAATTTATTAGCATGCTGTTTGCTATTTCTTTTGTTACTTCCTTGGCGTTATAAACGGAAAGGAGAATTTGAGCTCCGAGTCGGCCACGAAATTCTTTATGCATTTCATCGTCATCTTCTGTGAATTTATTTAAATAAAAAATCAAAATGTAATATAAATTGACTGTTAATTACTATTTTCCCAAATCATCCCAATCAAAACAAAATTAACGTATTTTCTCGATTAATTCCCCCGGGGAATTACTTTTTCAGCCCATCCTTGGCATGGGGAATTAATTGAGGGAGGGTAATTCATCAAGAAAATACGGTATGACTATTTTTTATCGAACACTTCGGTTTATTGGTTAGCTTAGGAAAATTTTTCCTGATTCTTAATTTCGGATTCGGAATGGATCATTCTCAGGCACATATGGTTAATATTAATTTATTTGATCTAGACTTGCCTTTAATTTCTTCAGAAATAACAACCTCAATTGCTTCTTTTAACTTATAACAACTTTTAATATTTTTATCAATATTCAAAAGTTCCTTTTTAAATTTAAAATAAACGTCGGTATCAAATTTTTCTTTATTTTCATTTTTATTTATTTTAGAGTTCATCCAATCCCATGCTTCATTAAATATATTTTTTTGTTTATTTTTAAATTCATTATTGAGATAATTTAATGAATTAATTATTTTGTTATCTTCAACTTTATTCTTTTTTAAATTAATTTTGATCTATTAAAAAATAATTAATTACTAATTAATTAATTAAAATCACTACTTTATTTTTTCTTCTATAATTTTTTCTCTTCTCCAATATTTTTTTAATTTCTTTAAATTCTTTATATAAAAATTCTACAGAATTTTCTCTCAATTTTCTTTTCTCATTTTTTATAAAATTATCTGGATTTTTAAAATATTCAACAATTTCCTCGTATTCTTGTCCTCCAAGCTTTTCAAAACGTTTATTTAAAGGCTTTATTTTAACATTATAAACAACATTTTGGAGAAAATCAAAGGGATGAATTTTAATTTTTGCTAAATTTTCGAAGATTTTCTCATCAATTTCCACTTTAATTTCCTCATCTAATCGTTTTTGTCCATCCTCCTCAAATTTTTTTATGTAGCCTAAAATTAGGTAGATTAATTTTAATTATTATTGTAAGGAAGACTTAAATGGCCTAATATTAAATAATTCCTTACTCTAGAACAACAAAAGTCAAATCCCCGACTCCTTATATTTTATAATTAATCCCGCCCATTTTAATCACTTATAAATTGTATCCCTAGTTTGTCAGTTAGTTTTTCTTCCTATTTTGATTATGAATGAGAATTGTATTTTAAATGTGAGAAATAAATAGTGGAGTGAGGTTCATAAAAATTAATTTGACAACTTTATGAACAGTTAGAAGTTATTCTCCAGCGGTGGATGCCGACCATCTTGTACGGATTGAGAGTAAGGCACTTACGTAGCGACGCAAAATTAGTTTCTATTTAGGTTTACATAGGTAACTTAGCTATCTGTTATAATCGTTATGTCCAACCCTACACATTTTTAACTGGTCATAATTTTGTTTAGAAGCAGTATATCACTCTTATTTTCTACAAAGAATTTATACTTTTAAATTCTTCAATTTGTTTTTCCTTCAATTTTATATCAGGTAATTTATCCAACTCTTCTATTAAATTATCTTCTAGCTTTTTTGATTTTTCAGAAATTTCTATTGAAATTTTTTGTTCAATTGAAGTTTTTCCCAGCTTTTCCAAAGACTTTAATTTCTCAAAATTTTCATCCAAAATTTGTTCAATTTCTTCAAATTCTTCTTTTTTTGTTTTATTTTTCTCATCAATCAAATCCTCATTTTTAGTTTTTTTATTTAAATTTTTAGTAAATAACCTCACAAACCACAAATTTTCCAACCAAATTTTTCTTTCAATATTTTTAATTATTTTCCATAAATGTGAACATATTTTATCAAAAATACGTTTTTCTGTCTTTTTTATTAATTTAAGACGTTTTTTCTCTAAATCAATCTGAATTTTTAATATATTTGACCAGTCAAGATATACTTCTTCTCCTTCACCAAATCCATTTCTTCCTTTGTAGATTGCTTCTAAAAATAAAAAAATATTTAAATTTATTATTTAAACTAGAGATCGGAGATTTTAAAACCTGGACCTAAATCTTGATACTTGATTTCGGTTGAGGACCTTGACCAGCTTCTTGTCTTTGAATCAAGGAAGAATCAAAGTCAAGAAAGAATCAAGCGACTCGGAAAAATGCTTTATTTTGACTATGGAATAGAGAGCTGGACCAAGGCCTGGGTTTTCCCTGTAACCAGAGTCCAGGCCCAGTCATTTTTTGACCTTCCTGGATTCTTCCTGGACTACAGGCCCAGGATCCAGTCCAGGTCAATAAATCAAACTCCAGAGTGCAGGAACACGGCCAGGCTTTTCAAAAATCTCGAACTATACAATGTCACAAGAAAAATCAAAATCTGGATTCAGATCTTGTTTTTCTACATTTTTGGCATTTTTCTGGACCCAGATTTAATTAGTGCCGATCTCTAATTAAAACCAAGAATTTCTATCAAATACCTAAAATCGCAAATGTCCCCAAATGCGCATTTCCTTCCCCCTCCTCAACTTCAACATGTTTTTCTTCATTTCTAGGCATTTTTTCTTCATTTTCTTCCTCCTTTTTATTAAAAAATATTATTTTTTCTTCTCCACTTTTTAATTTTTCCAATTCTTCCTTAATAACAGTAGTCCCTTCTCGAAAAAGAAATGCCCAAACAAAAATATCTTTTTCCAAAGAAAATTCAACAAAACATTCTTCTTCTTCATCCTCCCCTTCTTCCAATTCTTTTAAAATAAATTTATTATTTATTTTTAACCAAATATAGACATATTCCAAAATTTTGTTAATTGTTTTATTTTCAGAAATAAATTGTTTTGTTCTCAGATCTTTTTTAACTTTTCCCCTAATAATTTCGGGAAGAAAAAATAAATTTTTCTTGACAAGTTTTGACGCGTATTCTGATGAAATAAATTCTTTAACATTTTTTATTCTTTAAAAAAAATAAATAAAAATATTTTTAATTATTATTTTTTTAATTTTAATTTTACTTGGATTGTTTTTGAGAATTTTCTTCTTCCAAAGATTTTTTTAATTTTGTCGATTTTCTCAAATTTTCGATAAATTCTGTTTGTTCATTTGTTTTGTTTAATTCAACATTTAATAAACAATTAATTAATGAAACAAAGAATAAAAATAATTTAAATTTAAACATCTACTAAATTAAAAAAATAAATTTTAAATAAAAATTTTCAAAAGGGCCCTTTTAGGCTGGAGTATGTTTATAATAATACATTAAAAATTTTTAAATCGTCAAGAGTTGGTTATAGTAGATAACCGAATGATAAAGTTGATATAATAATTTTTTATATCCAATGAATTAAATTTTCGGCATTTTTTAATAAATTTAAATTAAAAATTATTTTATAAACAAAAAATTATAAACGATAAATACATAGAGACTAATTCATATATAGAGAATGATTCAATAAATTCAATATTGAATTAATTTATTGAATTTATTAATTATTCAGCCAGTAAGCAATGCTTAATAATGTCTATTAATAATGTCTAGAGACTTTCAAGACTCTTGGTTTTGAATCTTGACTCAAGACTTTTCTTGGGTTTTTTCGGTCTTAGTCTTGTGGTGAAGTTTTGCTCTTGGATCTTGGTCTTGAGTTTCTGAAAATTTTTGGTCTTGGAAGTCTCTAATAATGTCTATTAAATTTTTAAATTTTTTTTATTAGCTTAAAATGTTGAAATTAAATTTGAAGTTAAAAATGTTTGGTTTTTATTTTTAATAAAGATATTTAAATTAAAAATTAAATTTTGGAATTAATAACCTATTTATAAAACCTTTTGTGAAGATTTTTCTTTAAATAAAACAACTGTTTGGTTCTGGATATCCAAAAAATTTCCAAGAATTGACATCCCTAATTATGAATATAAGAAAAAATAAAATAATAAAAAATATTTTTTATTACTTTTATTAATTTATGTCTAATATTTTTGCCTTTTAAAATTTATTTCCTTGTCTATCACTATGTTATGTAATTCTCAATAATCTCTAATAAAAAATACACTTTAAATAAATAACATATGTCGAAATAAATAAATAAATTTTTTGTAGAATTATATCGTAAAGCTTGGGGATCTTTTTTGGAATCACGTGAAGAGTAAACAAAAGTTTATTTATTATTAATAGAGACAGGATTTTTAGGCAAATGCCTATTTTTTCCCAAATAGGCCTGATGCTGAAACGTCCAAATCAGGTGTTATTTTACTGAAATCTGCTTTCTAACTACTTATCGTTGCCTAAAATTGCCTATTTTAACCTTTTCTGGAAAAATGCCCTATTATGCCTTTTTCAGCCTATAATGCATATTTTTACTAAAATTTGCGAATTTTTGCGCATTTTTTGAGAAAATTCCTGTCTAAAAAATTATTTTTGGAAAAAATTATAAAATTTTTTCAAAACATTTTTGTCAAAAAATTTTTTGGGAAAAATTTTTTTCTGAACAATTTATCAAATTATTTTTGAAGACAAAATAATTAATATAAATTAATTTATATGTAATTCTGCTCGTAAAAATTAATTTATTTAACATTTTAGTGCTTAGATTTATCTGTTTTGATAAAATTTAGCCAATTTAAATCAGAAAATCTAAAAAAATCCTGCCTATTTTGCCTTTTTTTCGTATTTTAGTGCCTATTTTGGCAGTTTTTTAGTGCCTATATAGGTGCCTATTTTTAACATTTTAGTGCCTAAAAATCCTGTCTCTAATTATTAAATTTTTTTAATTTATTAAAAACCTTCTCTAAAATATACATAATATTTTCAGTAAAATTTTATTATTTTTTAAATTCCTTAGTAAATAAATGTCGTCTTGTGCATTGTACAAAAGAAAACGAAGATTTAAATTAATCCTTAATTCAATCAAAAAATAGCCAATGCCTATTGTTTGTGACTTCTTTTCATTCATTTGCAAAAAATGCGGGAAAATTAGTCAATTAATTTAAATTAATTGTAAAAAATATTTTTTATTTTTAAATATTAATTGATGCAAAAACATTATGGCAAATATACTTGGTCGAATTTTTAACAGACCCGCGACCCGGACTTTTTCTCGACACGAAACCCGATCCGAAGAAAATTTTGAAAACCCGACCCGACTTTTTTCTCAACCCGTTACATCCCTGAAGTGGTGCGAGATTATCTCCATCTTAAAATAAACTAATTAAATTTTTTAATAAATAAATTTTATTTTTAATAAAAATTTCTACAAAAAACATTATTTTTCCTTCGTTTTCTAGATCATGCACATCCGTAAATTATTATCTTTTATGATGCAATTTTTTGAAATTATTTCCAATCATCGACGCCGTAAACATAAATTACTTACAATAAAACATAATCACTTAAATCCTAAACGTTTTTTAAATAAATTTATTCCCGTAACTGAATGGCTACCAAAATATAGTTTCAAAAATTATTTTCTTTAATTAAATTATTTTAGAATGGCGACACTCTTTTTTCGTTGATTTATGTGCTGGTCTTACTGCTGCTGTATTTTCTATCCCTACAGGTAGTTCAGATTTTAGAACACAAACAAGTGTCGTCATTCAATTAATTACAACCTCTAGTAAAATGTCAAATAAATATCCCGGGTATGAGAAAAATACCCTGGATATTCATCTTAGTACATTAAAATCTAAGGGAATATAGAGATCTTCTCACTCAGAGTTAGGTTATATACAAGACCATTAGTCTAAAATGAAGAACCGGGTACTCGTAAAGATTGATTGGATGCGTGAAGGTGCCATTTTTTGTTTTATAATACTCGAAGGATTTATTTAATCTACTTTTCTCATATTTTTATATCTTTCTATCAAACGCGAATATATTTTTTTAGGAATTGCCCATGCCGGTATTTGCGGTGTTGCTCCAGTTTATGTAATAAAATATTTAATTAAATGTTATCAATTAATTTCTAAAATAATTAAGGGTCTATACACTGTTATTTTCCCAACATTTTTCTATATGCTTTTTGGCCATTCCCGACATAATTCTCTCGGCGCTTTTGCAATTCTTTCTTTAATAACTAGAGCAGCTATTGAAAAAGTTGATCAAATACTCATTAATGATAGGTTAGAAAATTAGGGAAATTATTTTACTATATTAAAAAGGAATGGAGGTGCTAGTCCCGTTTATGATTATTCAACGATATCTCCTTTGCCAACATCTGACGATAATGAAACTATTAGGATTATGAACAGTACTTTCTTTGACGGAGAAGATCAATTGCTGATTGATGAGGTAATTAATGAATATAATTTTGAAAATTAAAAATCCCTTGAGGTTTCATTTAAAATTCTCAAATTAATTATTAACAATCATAACAAATAATTTCCTTGTATTAAAATGTCATAAATTATTTTTATTTGAATTTAATTTTGTAATAGTTTTTAATAAAAGTAGCACTCCCTGAGAGAGGAAAGAGGACCCCCTGAGAGAGGAAAGAGGTATAAGATCCTGAGGGAGGAAAGAGGACCCCCTGAGAGAGGAAAGAGGTATAAGATCCTGAGGGAGGAAAGAGGACCCCCTGAGAGAGGAAAGAGGTATAAGATCCTGAGGGAGGAAAGAGGACCCCCTGAGAGAGGAAAGAGGAATAAGATTTACTCGTCCTTCGTACATGCATTAATATTTTTTCTCGAACACGTCTATGAGTATGACTGATACGTTCTTCCAAACGCTGCCGGGAACTCTTAAACTGTTATAAAATATTTTTTAATTAAAAGAGCACATTAAACACATCCTCAATTATTGCTGAATTAAATATTTCTTCTTCTGATGAGAATATTATTGATAACAATAATCACAACAATCCATTACTTAGCGACCCTATACAACTTTCTGTTCCAAAATTACTTCAAAACAATACAAATATTACTGTTGGTGAAATTGGTAAAAGATTAAGTGAAATTAAACCAATACATATTGCTACTTTAATTTTATTTTTGGGTGGAATTTTTCAGGTGTTCTTAAAAAATATACAAAAATAACTAAATATTTTAGGTAATTATGGGTATATTTCGTTTGGATTTTCTCTCATGTTATTTCTCTGAACAAGTTATGACTGGATTTGTTTTGGGAGGATGTGTACATGGTAATACTTATATATAACATTTGCAGATATAGTATGTAGATAGGCCTCCGTATTTATTATTAAAGATTTCCTGTTGTAGTTTTAGAATTGTTGACCATTAGAGGTGGGTCGGAACAGTCAGTGGTATCGAAAATCGGAACTGTCGGAAATCGGAACTGGCTCAAAAGTCGGAAATCGGAAGGAAAAAAACGCCGGAAATCGGAATTACGACCCACCTCTGTTGCCCCAGTAATCATGCGTTACTAATATATTATAGGTGGTAAAGAAATAGGTAGTAAAGTAAAAGTCTTGTTATTTATCATTGGACAATGATTCGTAACATTCGTATCATTCCGTTACTTAGATTACCTATTCATGCCATTCATCAACAATCCTACATACATATATCCTCCTTTCATACTTAATATTTCTATAATTTTCCAGTATTTTTCTCACAACTTGGGGACCTATTGGGTATTCAGCATTTATTGCCTCCTCGATCTGGTCGTGGATATTTATATAATGTATGTATATTAATTCTAATTTTTATTAAAATTAAACAAAATTTTAAGCGTGTTTTTGATATAATTGATCATTTAAAGTTTACAAATATCCAAACAATGATAATAAGTATTTGTTCTATTTTCTTTCTTCTTTTTACTCAACAAATTTTTGAAGTAATTTTTAATTTTTATATATTTCTCTCTAAAAAATTAACCCTTTTAGCCATGGCTAGCGGATGCTTTTGAGTTTCCAATACCCTATGAACTTTTATTAGTAATTATTGGAATAACTGCAACAAATTTTGGAGATCTTTCAAATAGACATAATATTACTGTTGTTGGAAATATACCAACAAAGTAAATTTTTATTTTTCAGTAAATCTTCTCATCTAACATTTTAAACTAGGGTAGCACCGCGTCCCCCTAAACAAAAAACACCGACCTGAACCCCGAAGGCTTTACCCCAACAAAACCCGATCCCCGACGCCCACCCCCGTACGGGCAAACCCCCGATTGTACCCCGAAACCCAGACTATTTTTTGGCACTCCGCCTATTTTTTGGTTCTACCACGGACAACCCTGAAACCCGACACTTCCCCCCCCCCCGAAGCTCGGGGTGCTACCCTATTTTAAACATATAAATTTAAGTTTTCCAACTCCATCAATTCCACATTTTGAATTAATTCCTTTTGTTTTTATCGATGCTATCAGCATTGCAGTAACTGCTGTTGCTATTCATTTGACAGTTATTCGAATTGTTGAGAATAAATATCATTATGTTATTAATAGTTGTCAAGTTATTTTGTTTTTTTAAATGATTTCTTTTTAAAAATTAATTTTTAAAAAGGAATTATATTCTCTTGGTTTCTCCGGTATTTGTTCTTCAATTTTTCCAGTATTTCCGATTACTTCTATTTTTGCAAGAACTCTTATTGGTGATGCTGATGTAAATATTACACAGGTATTTCTATCTAAGAGAGTTGAATCGGAAATGTCGGAGGTGTCGAAAATCGGAACTGTCGGAAATCGGAAATTGCCTAAAAGTCGGAAATCGGAAAGAAAAAAACGTCGGAAATCGGAATTTCGATTCACCACTGTTATCCACACATTTAGAGAGAATAATTAAAAATTTTAATACACCAAAATAAATAGAATGAACCACCATTTTTAGATAAGTATGTTCTTTAAATGATGACTAGGGATGGGATTTATATGGATTTCCATATTTTTTTCCTGGCCTAGTTGGCTCGTGAAACGCACGAAAAACGTTGTTTTAGCATATGTTGATAAGACTTAGAGCTGTCCGAGACCGAAATTTTTCCAAGACTCAAGACTCAAGACCCAAGACAAAATTTTTTCCAAGACCAAGACTCAAGACCAAGACCAAAACTCCAAGACTCAAGACCAAAAATCAAGACCAAATTTTTAAATCCCATAGGTCAAATTTTTGGTTTATTTTTTGTTATTTTGATACGACCACAGTCAACTTCAGCACAATTATCTATAATTTCGAAAAATTTATGCGAAATTCAAAGAATTTCGGGGAATTTATTCGTGTGGAAAATCAATAAAATAGGTTATTATTTCAGAGGATTTGGGTGGATTAACGGGATATTAGTGATATCAAAGGATTAAGAGGGATTGCCGTGGGATTTAGTGAATTATGAGGGATGTCAGGGGATTTTACGTCTGGAACGCCAAGGTAAAGCCAAAATTTTGGCGATACCCAACGTTAGCCCCCCCCCCCCATTCGAAATCGACCCCCTGGCTACGCCCTTGGATTAAGGAGGATATCGGTGTTTAAAGGGGAATTTAAGTGGATTAAGAGGGATCAAAAGGAATAGTATGAAATTGGAGGACCAGGGTGATTAGGTGATGATGGCTGCTGATATCCATCCTCTATTTTATCCCTATCTTTTTGCGCGCATGCGAAAATTTGTATAATTTTGGAAGGCCAAGAAGCCAGAATTCTTCATTTTCCAGCGCCGCAGGCGAAAACTTTGGGAATTATGAAGGCCGAGAAGCCAAAAATCTTCCTTTTCCTGCGCCGCAGGCAAAAATTTTGAGAATTTTGGAAGGCCGTATGCCAAAAAAATTCACTTTTTCAGCGCCGCAGGCGAAAATTTTGAGGATTTTGGATGGCCAAGCACTAGATCCAAAAAGGCCAAAAAACCAAGACCAAAAAATAAAACCAAGACAAGACCAAGACAAACACTCCAAGACCAAGACCAAGACCAAGACCGAAAAAAAACCAAGAAAAGTCTTGGTTCCAAGACCAAGACCAAGAGTCTCGGACAGCTCTAATAAGACTGATATTGAGTTATCAATCCATATTTTCCATATTTTTTTGTATTTTGGCGTTCAGTCCATATTTTCCATGTTTTATCCATATTTCTTGATTTTTTGTAAAATGTTGCCAAAAATTGGTCAAAATTTTCAGAATTTCGGAATTTTTATTAAGATTAGGATTTCCTTTCTTGCCAATACTTGTTTAATTAAAATTATAAAATAATTTTCTTCGTTAAAGAAAAATTTTTTAAAATCTTATTTGTTTAACAAGCAAACTGAGTAGAACCTTTAATTTTAAAATTAAAATAAAACACAATTTAGATGACAACATTCTTTTCAACTTTATCTCTTTTAACAGTAATTTTATATATAGGCCCGGCTTTAGAATATTTACCAAAGGTGATTTTTCATACTATTTTGTAAAAATAAATTAAATAAAATTTAGTGTATTTTGGCTTCAATTATTGTAATTTCATATTTTTTAAAATAATTTTTAAAAAAATAATTTATTCATTAGATAGTCTCAGCCTGTACTTCTTTAAATAAATTTGGAGAATTACGTCAATTATGGCCTCTTTTCAAAATTGATTTTGTTAAAAAAATTTTTTTTCGAATTTTAATTATCTCTTTAATGATTTTAGGCAATTTTTATTGTCAGTTTCCTCCTCACAGTTTGTTACGATATGGCTGAGGGGTTAACGCTTTCAGCGCTTTTTAGTGCTTTTACTATTGTTTTTCGTGATCAGTGGTGAAGAATATTAAAAATTTTGGAATAAAAAACTTTTTAGGCCAAAATGGCACTTTTTAACACACGATGAAGAATTAAATGAATATAAAGAAGCTGAAAGAAAACAACAATTTTTACAGCACCAAATAGCCGCTGGGGGGCACGCTTTTATCATTCGTTATGATGCTCCTTTGATATTTACAAGTGTACATAAATTTAATAAAGTTTAGAAGAAAAATTATTTAATTAATTTATTTAATAATTTCCAAAAAAAGGTTTTAATTCAAAGTGCAAAGAAAAGAAAAATTCAATTAAATTTGTGTAGAACATATTCGGCAACAGAAAAATTAGTTTTGGCTAATTATGAAAATACTTTAATTATTGACTGTTCGGGATTTCCTTATGTTGATTTTCTTGGACTTCAAACATTAAAAAAGGTATTTTAAATGATGGGCTAGTTGATTATGTTTGAATTTTTAAATTACTTTTGAGGTTTATAAAGACTTTTCTGCACAAAATGTTGTTGTTAAATTCGCTGCTCCAAAAGGTTTAAATTGTTTTATAAATTGTATAGACCCTACATCTTGTGTAGGGTTGCCAAAATGGACCGACTCGGACCGAAAGATCGAGTCGGGCCTAGATGTTTGGCCCGAAAAAGACTCGTACTGGCCTGGCCCGACTCGATATAAACAAGCCCAAAAAAACGCCTCGACCGTCGACCCGACTCGAAAACGGCAACCCTAATCTTGTGTTAAATTTTGCTTACGTTAGAAAACCCCAATGGACCGAGTAGAAGGATTTTTGTAACGGGATTTACTTCCACAAAAAATATTGTTCTAAGAGTAATAAGTAATTTGGTTTTGGCAATTTTAACATTACCGGAACTTCTGTTTAAGTTTAATATTAACCAACGCTTTAGATTGTTCTTAATTTTTATTTTAGCTCAATTGTTGAGAATGTTTTGTGAAAGTGATTTTTATTTGACAGTTCCAAAAGAAAATGTATTTAAAACTGTCAAGTAATTTAATCTTTTTTTTTTTATTTTTTATTATTAATTTAGACAAGCTGTTAGTTCTTGTGTTTATAACGATGAAAATTCACGAATGGATGATGAGGAAATTTTTAGCATTGAATCTTTAAATAATATTTAGTTGATAAATATAAAATATGTATTATTAGAAATAAAACAAAAAGTTATTTGATTGAAATTTGAATTTATTTGAATTATCGAAATTATTGAAATTATTTAAGAAATAGTTGGAAAAATATGGCCCATGGGACTTTATTTTAAGAAATACAGTAGATTAACTCTTCAAGTAATTTTTTAAAGATGAATTAATTTTTAATAAATTCGTTCCAACTAATTTTTGTTTTTTCTTTCCTATTTCTTCTCTTTTCTGGCTGTTTTTCTTCTTTTATTCTGGAAATATCACATTTTTGATAAATTTCAAATTTCTTAGGGTTCTTCTAAAAATTTAATATTTATTTTTAGAGTACTAGTACAATGTGTCTTACATTTTTTCACACACGGAATCATTGTGGGAACTTTAAAATATTTTCGAGTAATTCGCACAGGCCCAATTTTTTCTTGTATTAAATAGGACACAAGGTTGAGAAAAGTAGGAACACTGGTACGAGCTTTCAAACTTTACACGGATCTTACTAAGGAAAAATATGGCGACCCTTTGGGTTGAGTAAATTGTACTGTAGGATTGGTGTACATTAAATAGAGGTTAACTTCTAGGAGGTTTTTAAGTTGAGAATTATTTAATTTTGGTATATCTTAAATTGTGATATGAGTACATTCATATACCTAAAGGGAAAGAGGGAAAAAAATGAAATAAAATAAAAAAATAATAAATTACCTGAGGTATATCATCAATATCTAAAGGGATTTTAATAAAATTATTTAATTCATCTTGTTTTAAATTTAAAGAATTTATTTGTTCATTTTCACTAATTATACTATCATTAGACGATTGTATTATTTTATTGCATTTTTCAATAATTGTTTGGGTATTTATAAATGTTTGATAAAAATTATTATGGAAACTTTTATTTGATATATTTGAATATTGACGTGCATAAGAGTTTACTGAAAATTAGGAATTAAAAAAAGATTTTTCACGAATTTAATTACTCGTTGATTATCTCTTAGATTGTGAAATTTCACTTACTATTAGTATTAATTGGATTTATTTCTGGACAATTAGAATTGTCCGCCTTGAAAATTGATTTAATCCTGTTAAATAAAAAAATTTATAAAAATTTTTATTTTAGCAGGAAAATTTTTAATAAAATCACAGATATCCTTTAAAAAAGCAAAAATCCAAACATATTTTCCAAATTATTTTGTCGAATATAAACAGCATTTAACCAGCTTCCTTCTCTATTTATATTTAGAAATTGTTCATTAATTTTTAATATTAATTTTTCCTGTTTTTGTTGTTCCTCTATATTATTTCTATTATTTTTTAAATTTATTCCAACTAACCAGACAGTCCAATGCTCTTCTGTACCACTAAATAATTAAAATGTAGTATTTAAATCGTGTTTCGCAAACTTAATTTTTTAAGTTTGTTCTTAAATTTATTTTTCTCAAATTCTTTTTACAAACCTCATTTTTATAAACATTGTTTTTACAAACTTTGTTTTTACAAACTTTGTTTTTTAAACATTATTTTTACAAACTTTGTTTTTACAAACATTGTTTTTATAAACATTGTTTTTACAAACTTTGTTTTTACAAACTTTGTTTTTATAAACATTGTTTTACAAACTTTGTTTTTACAAACTTTGTTTTTATAAACATTGTTTTTACAAACTTTGTTTTTACAAACTTTGTTTTTATAAACATTATTTTTACAAACTTTGTTTTTACAAACTTTGTTTTTATAAACATTGTTTTTACAAACTTTGTTTTTACAAACTTTGTTTTTACAAACTTTGTTTTTATAAACATTGTTTCTACAAACTTTGTTTTTACAAACTTTGTTTTTATAAACATTGTTTTTACAAACTTTGTTTTTACAAACTTTGTTTTTATAAACATTATTTTTACAAACTTTGTTTTTACAAACTTTGTTTTTATAAACATTGTTTTTACAAACTTTGTTTTTACAAACTTTGTTTTTACAAACTTTGTTTTTTAAACATTGTTTTTACAAACTTTGTTTTTATAAACATTATTTTTACAAACTTTGTTTTTACAAACTTTGTTTTTATAAACATTGTTTTTATAAACATTGTTTTTACAAACTTTGTTTTTACAAACTTTGTTTTTATAAACATTGTTTTTACAAACTTTGTTTTTACAAACTTTGTTTTTTAAACATTATTTTTACAAACTTTGTTTTTACAAACATTGTTTTTATAAACATTGTTTTTACAAACTTTGTTTTTACAAACTTTGTTTTTATAAACATTGTTTTACAAACTTTGTTTTTACAAACTTTGTTTTTATAAACATTGTTTTTACAAACTTTGTTTTTACAAACTTTGTTTTTATAAACATTATTTTTACAAACTTTGTTTTTACAAACTTTGTTTTTATAAACATTGTTTTTACAAACTTTGTTTTTACAAACTTTGTTTTTACAAACTTTGTTTTTATAAACATTGTTTCTACAAACTTTGTTTTTACAAACTTTGTTTTTATAAACATTGTTTTTACAAACTTTGTTTTTACAAACTTTGTTTTTACAATCTTTGTTTTTACAAACTTTGTTTTTACAAACTTTGTTTTTACAAACTTTGTTTTTATAAACATTGTATTTACAAACTTTGTTTTTACAAACTTTGTTTTTATAAACATTGTTTTTACAAACTTTGTTTTTATAAACATTGTTTTTACAAACTTTGTTTTTACAAACTTTGTTTTTATAAACATTGTTTTTACAAACTTTGTTTTTACAAACTTTGTTTTTATAAACATTGTTTTTACAAACTTTGTTTTTACAAACTTTGTTTTTATAAACATTGTTTTTACAAACTTTGTTTTTATAAACATTGTTTTTACAAACTTTGCTTTTACAAACTTTGTTTTTACAAACTTTGTTTTTATAAACATTGTTTTTACAAACTTTGTTTTTACAAACTTTGTTTTTATAAACATTGTTTTTACAAACTTTGTTTTTACAAACTTTGTTTTTATAAACATTGTTTTTACAAACTTTGTTTTTATAAACATTATTTTTACAAACTTTGTTTTTACAAACTTTGTTTTTATAAACATTGTTTTTACAAACTTTGTTTTTACAAACTTTGTTTTTACAAACTTTGTTTTTATAAACATTGTTTCTACAAACTTTGTTTTTACAAACTTTGTTTTTATAAACATTGTTTTTACAAACTTTGTTTTTACAAACTTTGTTTTTACAAACTTTGTTTTTATAAACATTGTTTCTACAAACTTTGTTTTTACAAACTTTGTTTTTATAAACATTGTTTTTACAAACATTGTTTTTACAAACTTTGTTTTTACGAACTTTGTTTTTACAAACTTTGTATTTACAAACATTGTTTTTATAAACATTGTTTTTACAAACATTGTTTTTACAAACTTTGTTTTTATAAACATTGTTTGTACAAACTTTGTTTTTACAAACTTTGTTTTTATAAACATTGTTTTTACAAACTTTGTTTTTACAAACATTATTTTTACTAACATTTGTTTTTACAAACTTTATTTTTATAATAATTGTACCAAACATTGTTTTAAGTTAGTTTTAAATAAACTTGTTTAATTTAGAATTTTCACATAAAAACTTAAACTTGTTTGTCTCTAACGATGTTTTCTTAAACTTTATCTCATAAAAACTTACTTTATTCTCACACATCTCATTTCTTTTTCAAATCCAGAAATTGTATGATATTCCTCTAATTTTATTTTTTCTCCGTTAACTTTTTCTGCCCATTCTTTAAGCATTAATCTTAATTTTGTTTTTAACAATCCACATTTAAAATTTCCAAAATAATTGTTTATATTTTCTTTTATCTTAATTGGTACTGTACAAATAACCAAAATAAAATGTTTGTAAATTAATTTATAATTTATTTTTTTAAATATTGTCTTTTGCCACCATTCTTTTGTTAAATTATTGTGGTTTAAGTTTTTAAAATGATCAGAAGCTTTTTTTGTTTCTCTCAAAATAATACTTTTTGTATATTCGTTAATATTAAATGCAACGTTTTGTTCAGGAAATTTAGGTGAAATTATCGGCATTATTGATGGCTGATTTTCAATTTTGATATTTGATAAATACCAAGAATCAATTAAATAATTATTTTGATTTTTTAAATATTTTGTTATTAATTCTTGACTAGTTAAAGCCTCAAGCAAAACAGGAAATGGCCATTGCCTTAGAATAGAATCTATGTAGTTTTAATAATTAAAAATAAACTAAGTAAAACAAATTATTAAACAAAAACACAAATTTAATCATAACTAACATATAAACTTTATAAAAACATTTAATACAAAATTGCAAAACTTTACATAGTTAAACATAAATAAAACAAAGTAATGCATAATAATATAACAAGGAAAGGAAAAAACATTCAAACAAACATAGAACAAACAAACAAACTTTCAACAAGCAAAAAAATAAAACTTCATAAAACTTTTAAAGCATGAGAAACAAAAATTCAGGCGTTAAACAAAACAAAGAAACATTTATAAAAACATAAAGCAAAACAAAAAAACATTTAGCAAACATTAAAAACAAACATAACTCCTAACAGAACATTAAGCAACACAAACAAACATTAATAGGAACATAAATCAACAAAACATCTATGAAATATTAAAGAAAAACGAACAAAACATTTAAACAAAACATCTAAGAAATATCAAAGAAAAACGAACAAAACATTCAAACAAGCAGATAAGAAAAATATTAAAGAAAAACGAACAAAACATTCAAACAAAACATCTAGGAAATATTAAAGAAAAACGAACAAATCATTTAAACAAAACATCTAAGGAATATTAAAGTAAACGAACAAACATTTAAACAAAACATCTAGGAAAATTAAAGAAAACGAAAAAAACATTCAAACAAAACATTTAAGAAATATTAACAAAAACGAACAAAACATTCAAACAAAACATCTATGAAATATTAATGAAAAAGAAACAAACATTTAAACAAAACATCTAAGAAATATTAAATTAAACGAACAAAACATTTAAACAAAACATCTAGGAAATATTAAAGAAAAACGAACAAATCATTTAAACAAAACACTAGGAAAATAAAAGAAAATGAAAAAAACATTCAAACAAAACATTTAAGAAATATTATCAAAAACGAACAAAACATTCATACAAACATCTATGAATATTAAAGAAAAACAAACAAACATTTCAACAAAACATCTATGAAATATTAAAGAAAAACGAACAGAACATTTAAACAAAACATCTAATATTAAAGAAAAACGAACAAAACATTTAGCAAAACATCAAGCAAAACTAAAAAACATTCAACAAAACATTAAAGCAAAATTATCAAAACATTCAAATAAAACATCAAAAAATATTTAAAATAAACAAAACATTCAAAAACATTAAGCAAAACAAACAAACATTAATAAGAACATAAAACAACAAAACATCTATGAAAAATTAAAGAAAAACGAACAAAACATTCAAAAACATTAAGCAAAACAAACAAACATTAATAAGAACATAAAACAACAAAACATCTATGAAAAATTAAAGAAAAACGAACAAAACATTCAAACAAACATCTTAGAAATATTAAAGAAAAATGAAAAAAAACATTCAAACAAAACATCTAAGAATATTAAAGAAAAACGAACAAACATTTCAACAAAACATCTATGAAATATTAAAGAAAAACAAACAAAACATTTAGCAAAACATCAAGTAAAACTAAAAAACATTCAACAAAACATTAAAGCAAAACGATCAAAACATTCAAATAAAACATCAAAAAAATATTTAAAATAAACAAAACATTCAAAAACTTTAAGCAAAACAAACAGGCATTAATAGGAACTAAAGCAAAACAATCAAAGCATTTAACAAACATTAAAAAACAAACATAACTCCTAACAAAACATTAAATCAAAATAATAAAACCTTCAATAAAACTTTTAAAGCTGGACAAAAAAACATCCAAAAACCATTAAAGAAAAGCAAACAAAACATTCAACAAAACATTAAAGCAAAACAAAGTGAACAAAAAACTTGGACTAAACAATAAGTTTTACAAACAACTTTTCACAAAGTTAAGATTTTATAGAGTTTCACAAACTTGGGAAACATAATTTAAAAAGCATGTATGAAATTATTTTCGCAAACTAATTGTTCACAACATAGTATAAAAATAACAATAAACATAAGTAAATTAGTTTACTCAAACAAACCATTCGCTAAAAACTTTAAAAAATTGTTGCAATAAATATGTTAAATCTCCAGTACTGTAAATAAGATTAATTTTTGCAGTCATTAAAATTAAAATTGTCCCACTTAAATAACCAAAAATATTTGAATAAATTTGTTTTCCTTAAAAATAATTTTCTTGATTTAAATAAAAAATATTTTTAACTTTTTGCCCACAATTTAACTGATCTTAATAAATCAACAAAAAGGGATGATTGTTTGGTTGTTTGTATAAATTTGGATTTGATATCATAAGCAATCCGATAACCTGAAAATTATTTTTTTAATAAATTAGATAATATTTACATATAACGAATATTGGATCTTAATAATTATTAAATCAAGTTTGTGAAACAAAAACTAGACTAATTGTAAGCTCAAAACTAAATTTAATCCAGTATGGTAAGATAAGCTTAACAAACCACAATAAAATTTTATAAAACTACTATACGAAAGCATTAATAAAATTTGTTTAAATTACTTAATAAAATAAAGTTTGTAAAGCTATCGTTTCTACATCTAGGTTTGTAAAAAATTTAATTTAACTTTGTGAAAAACATTTTACTCAGCCTGTATTTGTTACTTACCAACATATATTAAATTATTTACCTGTCAAAACCAAAATACTTTTATTATAAAATTGATCATTTTGTCTGATCATTCCATCAATTAATTCATTTAATATTTTTTCATTTTTATTAACAATTTCTTCATTTTCTATATTTGTTGGATCAAAATTTTCAGGAATTTTATTATACGGAATAGGCGCAGCCATAATATCCATTTCCACTCCTGATATTGAAATTGAAAGTATTGGAACTCTGGCATTTCCTATTGAATTTATATATGTTCCAGACATTGAATATCCCTTAATCATTATTTATTTTAAAATTTAGCTTGTTTTTATTATATTTTATTTTTTAAATTTTATTAATTAATGTTTTAATTAATAATTTTATACATAGGATTAGAAAATTGTTGGAACTGAATAGTTCTAAAATCCCCCTAAAACTATTACTATTTTTAAATACCTTAAATTCAAATTCCTTAATAGTTTCCACGTTGTAAATTTCATTCTTTAAGAAGGAATAAAGTGATTGGACATTTGAACCAAAAAATAGATCGTGTTCTATACAAAAACGAATGTTTCCGTTCCTTTGACATTTTTCACAATTTTCCGAAACATTTTGTTGAGGACATAAACATTTTTGTGAAAAAATAAAAATAATGTCCAAATCAGAATCTGGCCCTGCTGTTTCAAGAAATGTAGAGCCTCCAATTATAATCTTGTAGTCCTCTTAAAATCAAAAAAATGTTTAAGGTTATTTTAACAAAATATGTTCAGGTTTGGCTTTGACTTAAAACATCGGTTTTTAGTATAAAGATCGTAGATCGCAGAAATTTGATATCGAAATAATTATTTTTTGATGTATTTCAAATCTTAATCGGCTTCATGACCAATCTATTATACATATGTATTATAGTCATGATTTCTGAATTTTCAGAAAAAGCCAGTTTATATTTTTAATACTTACCTCCATTATCTACAAAATTTTTCTTGCATATATTTCTTAACCAATTTTTGAATTTTCTTTCTTGCCACTCAATTATGAATTTCTTCTTTTCCTCTACTTCATTATTACTAGTATAAATTGAATTTAAATAATTGTGAAGCTGTAAAATTAACAGAAAAATATTTAAATATATCTAAATTTAAAAATTAACCTCTTCATTTTTAAAAAATTTATTAGGAACAAATATGTTCAAGTCTAATTTTTGTTTTTCAAATATATTTTCTCCAAATATTTCTGTCATTTGTTGAATTAAATTCATATCTAAGATTAATTTAAATAATGGTAAGTAGTATCTTACCGGGTTTTACTACAAAAATAACGTTTTAAAATCCGGTTTTACTACAAAAAAAGAAAATGATATCTTTTGTGTAGTTACCACCTTTAATCAATTGGTAAGGGATTAGTACTATTGTAATCAGTTGTTACTCAATTAACACACAATACACTTAAAAATTTTAAAAAATTTTATAATTAAAAAAATTTTAAAATTTTACTTAAAAACACCAATTAAAAAATCAATTAAAAACCCACTTATAAAACCACTTAAAAAAATTCAAAAAATTTTATAAAAAACCCCCACTTAAAAAACCACTTAAAAACCACTTAAATAACCACTTAAAAAATTTTTTAAAAATTTTTAAAAAATTCTATAAAAAACAACCCACTTAAAAACCACTTAAAATAATTTAAAAATTTTAAAAAAATTTAAAAAAATTTTTAAAAAAATAAAAAATTTTATAAAAAAAACCCCCACTTAAAAAACACTTAAAAAACCACTTAAGAAATTTTAAAAAATTAAAAAAATAAAAAATTTTATAAAAAATACCCCACTTAAAAAACCACTTAAAAAATTTTAAAAAAATAAAAAATTTTATAAAAAATACCCCACTTAAAAACCACTTAAAAATTTATAATTAAAAAAAATTTTAAAAATTTTAAAAATTAAAAAAGTTTAAAAACCCCCCACTTAAAAACCACTTAAAACCCCCACTTAAAAACCACTTAAAAATTTTATAATTTAAAAAAATTTTAAAAAATTTTAAAAATTTCAAAAATTTCACTTAAGAAAACACTTAAAAATTTAAAATGGTTAAAAAATTTAAAATTTTAAAATTTTAAAAAACTTCACTTAAAAAACAATCACTTAATAAAAATTAAAAAAAATTAAAAAATGTACCTTCGATTTCGATTAATGGATAAGAGAGGAATTCCATTAATTGAAGACATGCACAAGGGTTATGGGGGGAAGGTAATTAAATGCACGAGTAAACGACAAAATTATTAATAAATATATTATGTATTTATTATTTAATTTTAATTTTTATGTAATTTTATTTAGTTTGTAATTTTTATTTATTTTTAAATTTTATTTATTTTTTATTTTTATAAGAAATTTTTATTTTAATTTAAATTATTATTAGAGGAAAAATATTAATCTAAGCTAAAAACTAGTAAAAATAATTAAAAGAAAACAATTGTGTATTAAAATTTTATTCTGAGCGCAGCAACAATACAAAAATGAGGAAAACAATAAAGCTAACAATTAAATATCTCAAAAAAGATAGGAAACGCTATCTAGTAAAGGGGCATATTTTAACATATCTATTCTTCATTTGTCACAACATCTATACATTCAAGTGGATAAAAATATTGGTGATTCTTTCCTCCAAAAACACATAGGACGGGTAGACGTGGAAGATAAAGGTTTATTCGATGACGGACATAGAAGTATTGCCTAAAAATGAAGAATATTAATAACAGAAGAAAAATAAAATTACCTTATTGTAACACGAAGATATCCTCTGAGAGCAAATACATGATCAGCGCCCAATTTTGTAAGCTTACAAGGATACAATTCCATCTGAAATTTATGTAAATGGTTTGTTACAAGTCCTTTATTTTTCATTGGAGCGTATCCATCCATCAATAGTTTTTGTCCGATTCCCGCTGAAATAACCTCTTCTTCAGTCATTCCAGATAGTTGTTGAATATATTTTAGATTTTCTTCCATTCTTTTACGCATAGCACAGTGCAGAGTTTCAGGCGTGCATCCTCCATTAAACTGACAAAGCAGACTAACAAGGGATGTTTTTTTAAGGCAAGGCGTGGGAGGCTTGGAATCGATATCGTTTCGTTTTTCCCTCCATTGAGTAAAAGCAGAAGTTGAGGTTATACACGAGGTTCGCATGTTGATATTTTGTTAGTAAAATCTGCGCCTTTTATACACTCGCAAGACGAACAGCTTCATTTATATTAGTGCGATTAAAGAAACCATTTCGAGCCTGATAGAAGAATAGTAAAAGAAAAATAAATAGTATGTATAAGATATAAGCAAAACCTAATAGAAAATTTTGTTGAGGAGGCATAATGATTTCGCTATCTATAAAGATTGTATTATTTTCATAAGGATTACGGGGGAAAGGAAGAATTAATTCGGAAATAACCATCATAGAATAGAATATAAGATACAATGCTACCGGTCTCTTATATACCAAGTGCTAATTTGTGAACAAAATTTCTTAGAGCGATATCACGACCTTCAGGGGGTATAGAGTGTAATTTCTGTAGGACTTTGGAAAATGTTCCATAAATTGAACGTAATACTAAAAAGCAAATACAATAATGACCGCACGTGTCAGAGAAAGGTGATTGTAAAACAAAACGGTTTTGCTTAACATTTGAATAGTTTGAAAGTAAGGAACGGCGCATCTCACAATTAGGTTCTTCAGCGAAAGAATCAAAGTATTCTATAGTGTCCGCTTTATCAGAATAACAGGCAATCCAATGTTCTCCTCTAGTTCCTTTACGCATTGTATTTGCAATAAAGCAAAAATTATTTTTTTTAACAGAGGAAGGTATATTATTTGAAGAAAAAACCCCAATAAATTTATGTTTTAACGGTTCATATTTTTGCATAATAGTTTGAATTTGCAGCGAATTCATACTGATCCATCAGTGCTTAAAACACGATCAGCATTTATGGACAGAATTGAGTCAAACTCACCCATGATAATCATTTCATATCCCTCCTCTTTTACAGGCTCATTGAAAAGACACCTAACAGTTGTTGTGACCTGTCTTATGAGTTCTAGACCATTTGTATCCTCAAGAGTTGAAGTCATAGGTATAACAAAGAAGCATGAAGATTTTGAAAATTCTTTCATACCGATACTAAGAGTTCTTTGCTCAGAGTTTGGCCATGCATCGAGATCCATACCTGAATACATATCAACATAGGCGCGCACAAAATTATTATTTGCAAAGTCTAGATCATAAGGAATAGAAGGGAACTGGAAGCCTCCAAATTCTGCTGAAACTGAACGAACATTAGCATTTTCAAAAGTAAATGGAGAAAGAGTAGGGACACCAGTAAATGCAGAAGAATTTACGAAACAAATTATCAAGCGTCTTGGGCATGTACTGGTAAATGCAGCGTGTGTAATTTCCTGGCGTCCTTTTCCAAGAAAAACACTGCGAATTTCATTCTTTTTATAAGCATATTTTGCGGGAGTTTGCTCTAAATGTCTAGCAATTGCATTATTTAGTGACATACTTAAGTCAACCTGCTTCACATAAATTCTCATATCATGAAGTCGTAGACGGTAAGTATGAGGGTTATTTACAAATTCTGCACCCGCCGCATTCGGAGGTATTATTCTATACTTGGGCGCGTGAATAAGAAACTCGTCAGAATTTCTATAGATGGTCCATATAACGTCGCTATGTGGAACTAAGAGCTGATTCTGCCGGGCGAAATCATAATCTAAATGAGAAATCATTCTACAGACCTTACCTTTAGAAAAACGTGAAAGACGAGATTTAAATCCTGCGCCTTCAAAATCATCTTTATCTAACACATCTTTGTAATAAAGTGAAGCCTCATACAGACCTCTACTTACTTCACGATCCGCACCAAGTTCATGAAGAATTATACATCTATAGGCATAGTGGATGCCTGAGTCAAAACATTGAGTACCGTTAATAGAAAGAGTCAGACGACGAATCCATGTAAGTCCTAGGTATTGAGCAACACTAATGAACCGATCCCCTTTGAAATCACCGTAACCGTCGGTAATTGGAACCCACTCACCAGTTTCGTCGATTTTTCTTTCAAGTGATAAATTTAAGTGGAAATAAGTCTTGCTTAGATCAAGATAGAGAGAGTCCCCAAAGTAACGAAAAATAAAAGGTCCTGCAGACTGATTGAGAGCATTAAGTGGAAGTAATTCCTTGTATGATGAACGCTGAATTCCTACATTTGTAGCAGGAACAGAAAAGAATGTAATTCTATTATCAACTCCTT